TATGGAAACTATACTTCAATCTCCATTAAATGTTGTTTAAATAACAGATTATTCAGAAATCTTTTTAACAGTGAACTTAAAAATAGTTTAAGTAAGGTCAGCACAAACACTACAAGCATTCTGATCCTCGAATTATTTCAATATCGGTGTCTATAAAGGTCAAATACTTTTGTTAATCTATGGATTTAGATGAAAGTCCAGTTTCATTTTGTACTTTCTAAGACTCGTGAGTTAGATGTACTTCCATCTCAGTATTGGTAATAGACTGGGATTGAACCCAATATCTTTCGCCCCAGACACAAACACATTGCCCAATAAATTACAAGTCCAGATAGCCACTAACTTCAATTCGTTTGAGACATAGATGGTTGTTAGATATGAGCTTGATAAGTCATTCATTAACCTATAGAATTTGGGTTTGCTCATTAAGTTTCCTTATAGTTCACCACTACTGCATATTAAGCATAACTGATTATTTTCGTATTTTTAAAACTGACTACTTAGTTAATAAATGATGTTTGTTTTGTTTTATATAACAGCGGATTTTCGTAAATAGTTCGAATGATTACCAATCGTTCTCGATTTCTTTCGTTTTATTGAAGTGATTGATGAATTTTCGAAAAGCCATTTGAATATGGTGGGAGACTGATTAATAGTGGTGTTCATCAGTGTGTTCAGTAAAGTGCGAAAACTGATCACTTGTAAGCATTATTTTCGTTAATTTATTGGTTGTGGGTGTTGCCTAGAAATCTGATTGGAATCATTTCAAGCTATCTTGTATTGAAACTTCAATCTGAATATATCACCATCGCAAGTTATGTGATGGAAATGGTAAATCAAGTGAAATGTATAGTTTGAAATGAAATTATCAGTGAATACTAATCTGTTATACGGAAGATGAAGTGAGTGAATGGACGGAGATTGACCGGAAATCGTTGTGATTGCACAAATATTGAAGATTGAGGAATGGATGCGCTAGCGCTTTTCAGACACGTATCTTATCTCTTGATCACTGTTTTTGATTATTTTTTTTAGTGGGACTTCACTTTTCGTTAATCGAATATGGTGACTATATGCAATGGGTTTTTGTTGTTGTTAATCCTAGTTAATTGAAATTGACACATTAATTTGAATAGTATATATTGTATCAGTTATTATTTTATTAAATATAAACAATAGTGTTCTGTGTAGTCAGTAAGTGTGTGATAGGAAGAAGCAACACTCGGAATAGTAAGTAGTTGAATAGTGTTAGATGTAGCCCGAAGCACAATGGGGAATTTAGTTGAATCTAGATTTATTTCTCGACAAAATCGTCCCATGATTAGATAACTTCGTTTCAGTGGACCGAAAAGTTGAATCTCTATTAAGCTATTGATTTGTGTGTTGAATGAATTTGGTTAATGTTGCGTATATTTGTGACAAATGTAGGATAATATCTGATTTATTGTTTGTGAAGAATCTATTAATGTGTGTATATTTGTGCAAGTGATATTGAAGTTAGTTAGTTAGTTAGTTAGTCAGTTAGTTAGTTAGTTAGTCAGTCAGTTAGTTAGTTAGACATTTAAGAGCCATTGACCTTCTGTATGGTTATTGAGTGGTGGGGCTGTGTGACAATTCTTATTTGAATTGAACTGTTTGACATTTATTGGTCAGATATAAAATGGAAGGAAGATAATAACTATACTTCGAATTGAATTTGAAAATTGTTTTATACTGATTAGTGTGACTTTATAAATGCATAGAAACTAGAAATAGTTCATCTTAGCCATCTCTGACGTTAACACTGGGTGTATCATTTTGAATCTGTGCATAACCACCAATTTACTCAAGATAATAAATATACCTTGTGAATGAATTTTAACTGGCTCAAAGCTGTAGGTTCACTGAATTGTTTGAAGCATTCAATGTGGATTCCAAGGCAATGAACAGTTATTTCATTCTCATATAATGCACATAAACAGCATATTTTTTCTTTCTGTTCTGATAAGAAACGCAATCATATCGCATATATTTGTGAGGATGTGATCAAATTTGTAACTTTACAAACTACAAGCTGGTTACTTTTTATGTTTGGTATAATTATACGAATTGAGATTGTGAAAACTTTTAACCAGGAGCCCTAAAATTTTGGCACATTTTTTCATCACTTGTCAATTACATTATTCTCTAACCATATCTTAAAAATTTATAACCTTTTTCCTAAACTGTCACTGCGTTATTTTGTATAGCTCATGTGTGTATAACTCTTCTACACTACCTTTTATCGAAAGCATACCTAATTTTACCAATTGGTTTATATTATTTATCAGTATAGGGGTTGTCGAGATTATTAAGTTTTTTTATTGAGATCATAAACCGATTGATGTTAGACCACCATTGAAAACCTGGAAGCACTGGACGGCCGGTTCGTCCTATTGTGGGACTCCTCATCGGTGCGCATCCACGATCCTGCTCGCGGGATTTCAACCCCGGGGCCTTCACTCTCGCGCACGAACGCTTAACCTACTAAACAACTGAGCCGGCAATCAATGGTGTTAATGTCTAACTTCAACCAATCCACGAAATCTCGCGACCATCTTCCATTGTACTGAAGTAGATACCTGTCTCTATGCAACACGGATTGTTATGTATTTTGTTTATTTATTTATTTATTTATTATTTAGTACTGTGTGTGTAGTCTGAATTTTATTAACCTACTTATGGGTTCCACTAAATATTAGAAATGTTTGGAAAACATTAATGACTTAATATCTATAACTTGGTCGCATTTATATATTAAATGACCGTATTATCCAAGTACTTAATAGAATGAAGCTGAGGATTGTGTAGATTGACTAAAATTTAATGAATCCTTATCTTTTGTTTATTGTGAGTTTGTAGTGGCTACTAGTGTAAGTGATCTGACATCCCTTACATTTTACTGATATGTTAGGTGGTTGGAGGGAGCCGATAAGAAACCCTGCGAATGAATTTCGTCCTGATTGGTACTCGTTTTTACAAAAGACCTTCGATATTCATGGAAATGAAAATCCCCCTAGGGTTCAAAACCACATGACCCACTTCGACTGTTTGAGACGTTAATTAGCGATTTGGTTAGAAACCAACCTCCTGTAGGACTGAGAAATTTATTAATCTCTGAGTTCTGATAAGTATCATGTTTGCCTAGTCCTTAATGTTAATCAGAACCTGTCGATCGAGATTGAAGTTACGATATACAGACAATTACCAACTAACACGAAACTTAGGTTCAATGTTTCCTACTGATTGCCTCCAAACATCAAACATAATTATTTTTGTATTTAATTTTTTGAAATGATATTCTGATAGCTCATTATCCTTTAACAACAGAAAGGAATGACTGGAAGTTTTCCATTATTTAGATTGTATTGGTTGTATATTTTTCCCTTTGTTTTGCATTATTAATGTATTTATATATATACCTTATGACTGATACCCGAAGTTTACTTAATTTCATTCCCCTTTTCACCTCAGTCATGTTATGTATGTGTGCATGGACAGGTTACTTTAATTTTAGTGGCAACCTTAGCTTCATAGGATGTATGCTTACATTGTCATTTTTCTGGAAGTGACAAACTGGTTTTTCAGTCATACTTAGGATTATATATGTATGTGCTTATACTCGTTAGGTATTTTAAACTGACCATTCGACTGTCTGACTACATATTCTTAAGTAATGTTGAGTATTAATAGCTACACTTGATAATAACCATTCTTCATTGCAAATCAACCGAATACAAAAATGTTAATCGTTGAAATCCCGTTAAACTTTCTTAAATTAAAGCCCTTGTCGTCAGACCCGAATTTCTCTAAATCGATCATGTATTTGATCAATGCGAGGCATACTTACGGGTTCAGGAAGTGTGGAACAAAACAACTGTCTAAAGCTCTTCATTTTTACAGTGATTTCTCATGTGATATAACATTATGCTGAAGATATTTGAATAATTCTTCTTTATTTGGCATTCCTTTGTGAGTTTTTTATTATCACCAAAAGTGGTTTATGTGTTTTGTTTTATTTAAATTAATCAGATTTCTTATTATGCTCCTGCCAAACTTTTTATATATTTCGAACGTCTAAAGTTTTAAATATTGTATGTAGTTAGTTTAATTTGTAGCTTGTATTATTCAAAGGGTACAATTGGAAACCAGTGAGCACTGGATAACCGTTTCACTCTCGTGTAGGACTCTTTAGCAATGTGAACTCACGACTCAATCAGGTAAAAGACACAGGAACTTCAGGCATTGCAGCGAATGCTTAACTGTTATAGCATCTGGGTCAGGATCTAATGGTACGGTTTTAACTTTAATCAACTTGCGATGTAGCACGACTATTGCCCAATGCTATTAATAGCAACTGTTACACTCGTCGTATGTGAACTTTACCACTTGCAACTGCTCATTAGAACTTCACTAACATCTTTAAGGAAATTAAAGATATCTAGTGTTCTTTGGTTTTGAATGGTAATCTGTAGTGAACATAACATATACATTTAAAAATGCTTCACTAAATTACCTCTTATTTGACGAGTAATAGCTTAATCGATTGGATTTCGGATTACATATGAAACTGATCTTTTACAATCTTGTTTATCATGTATTCACATTTTAAAAAGGATTATAGATGTTCAATTGTATAATATGGTGTTCACACAGTAAGTTATTGAATTATTGTTGTTATATACAGCTCAAACCAAATTAGACAAATTTATCTGTGTAAATTTAACGAGAAGCATTAGTACGAGTTTATATATATTCGGTCTAGTGAAGTCGTCTTGATTTCTAATTACATATACACATGATAAAGTCACTCACATTTTACTCCCAGGTCCATTGTGTTTAGAAAAAATACAAAGAAATCACCTAATGTTTATTAAACTCTATTGATTTTGGAAAATTTCAATACTATTTCTTAATATCGTTGTATCTAACATTTGATAAATGTTGTTTAATTTTGTTTATATGTCTATTTACTTAAATAGAGTAGAGCAGTGGAGAAGTTTATTTCAAATTTGAATCAAGCATTGGATTGTTTAGTTGATAATAGGAATACTACTACTAATACATTTGTTAATAGTAATTGTAACCCATTACATCATTTGTATGGACCATTTAAGCAATTACTGATGGAATTAGCCATTGTTTTGCAATGTAAACAATTTAACCGAGATTTTGTTAAATGTGAAGGTCATTGTAAACTCTTCAAACTTGTTGAATGCATTGAGTAAGTTTCACATGCATATATATATATATATATATTGACTACTAAAATTGTATTACTAGCGTTTTCAGTCTTTTATTTTGTAAGTAAATAAAAATGTGATCATGCACTCCCTGTAACGTTACTTACTTAAGCAAACCCAAGCGAAATAGATTTGAATATTTTTGTAAACTACTTTTTCACATATAAGTAGTTAATGTTATTTATTGAAAATGTTTAGGAATGTTAATCTTAGGGACCTATGTACATTATCATACCAGTAGACTATATTAATATTTATCAGTATATGGTCGTGCAGATTGTTGAGTTTTAATTGAAATCATGAACCGATTAATTTTAGCCCATCATTAGAAACCCGAAAGCACTGGACGGCCGTTTCGTTCTAGTATAGAACTCCTCAGCGACGCGCAGCCACGATCTGTTGTACTTTTTTAGGAAAGTCCGTAAAACTGCTTTAATGTCATGAGTCCAAGGCTCTTTCTAATATATAAGAGTCAAAAATAACTTACATTTCAATCCAAGTGATAATTTATTTACAGCTGTTTGATTACAAATGTTCCGTCTTTAACTGATTTAAATCGACTCATGAATCAATAGAAAGATTTTATGTTAACTTGAATTAATCAACACCACTAAAATATGATAACATAACAGATTTTCATAAAAGCTTAGTTTGTAGTGTTGGATTGCTCATAACACGTTAATTCAGGGATTTCATCCTTAAATCATGTTCATGTTTGGTTAAAAATGATTATCTACGTGTAAAGCTCTTACAACTTCTTATGAAATGTCTTTGGGACTACTCAGAAAGTTATTATATGTGAAAATTATATTTGAAATAATCTCAGAGATTGAAATTTGAATAATTCCAACGTTTTATTCAGCTGACTTATCTGGACTTCTTCAGGAAGTTTTTTAAATGTTGTGAATAATGTATCATGTCGTCATTTGATGATCCTAAATTTTGCTAATAATTTCGTCATATCGAGGCAATCCGTGCAGGATGCATATATGTAAATGAGAGACTGATGAATTACAGTCTTAAACACCAATAGAAAGACTCGAACAAACAATACAAAATGAATTTTGTCATGTCTCAAAAAGCTTCAATATTATCAAGGCCATACGTAATTCTATAAATATCCTTGTTTTCTATACCTACTCTAACTTGGAAGTAGAAAGGGTTTTTATGCGTATGAGATTTCTGAGTGACTAGGAAGTGGTTAGAACCTTAGTGTCGAGTATTTGACTGTTAGATATATCAATACCATATCTAGAAAAAACCCAGATAACTGGTTAATAATTACGATTTTAAAAATTAACGACAACATCACAATTTGATTACATCAGTATATTGTTAATACGCATTAAATTTAGCTATTATTGTAATCACCGAGTTGATATAATATTCAAAATGAAGACTATTACCATCTATGGTGTTATAGTTTTGATTTTTTTCGATAATTATAAAATTACTCAATCATTACCCTTATGGTTATGACACTCATTTAATAGTAATCATTCCAATTTTAAATTATTATTATTATTATTGTTATTATTATTACTTATTGTATTTGATGTTCTTTTCTAAACAGTAAACTGGACAAAAAGTTTCATGATGAAATTTGGTCATATCTCTTATCCTGTCTAATTGAATTATCCAATTATGCTATAACTAATCGATTTACTATTAGTAATAATGCCCTGAATAACGATAATAATAACAATAATAATATAAAGTTATATCCTCATGAAGTTTGTTTTACAGAAGAAAATAATGATTCTAAAAAGTATTTATCTGAAGAAATGTTAATTCAACAAGATGAAAATATTAACCAAATCCAGTACTCATCAACAATTCTACCAATGAAGAATGTTTATGGAATAGAAGAGTTTTTCAGTTGGCAATTAGTATCAGATGAATTTTTATCTGTGGTTAGTTTGTGATTTACTTATTTGATTGATTTTTTATATGCTTAAGTTAATTATTGTTTATAGTGATAATATTTTTCTTAATGATAAGCATTATTTTGAATTGATTTAAAGAGTATACTTATCTTCATTAATTCAGCTAAGTTGTACACTCAATTAAATACTTACATCTTAGGGTTGTCACTATGTTTGTTATGACAATTAGATAACTGTAAATTTGAAACCGGTATCATTAAATTCTGAAAGCAATCGACTTTGCTTATGTTCTTTTTATTTGGATTCATCAGTAGTAATAGTTTCGTTTACGGTATCGTGCGATTTTGACCATTCTGTGAACGGATGGATGGTATAATAGTAAATAATTAGTGTTGGGAATTGAAAAGTATCAGTTTTCTGACATCATTTCTCACATCACTCAATATATTCTTATTCTTCAATAACCCACATTCCTTCAATGTAATGTTCCAAGTGTAACTTAGTGTATTTATTTCAATTCCGTAGAAATAACCGCTAAGGCATACATTGTCTACCAATGATGTATTCATTATAAACACTTTTTCATGTAAATATGATTCAATGGTTCTGTATTGATGTGTATGTTATATTATTTATATTCATTTGCTTATTATGTGATATTCCAAGTAATTGACAACTCTTAGTGAATTTTCAGTTGTGTAATATGAAATTAGAACAACATATATAAGTGAATGACATTGTTTTCGATTAGATCCTCATCAGGCTTTACTCCAATATACAATAATATTTATATGCATATACGGAATTATTAAACCAATCAAGGTAGTTTATGAGTCAGTGATAACAGTGGAACAGATCACATAAATAAACATAATAAGTAAAAAGTATAAATTGATGATGAGACGACAGTGTACTAATTGTGATAAGAACAATCAACGCTTGAATCAATATTTCATAATGGGAATTAAGTCAACGGTGTGAAAAATATGGATGTTGGAATAACATTGATAAAAACTCTAATATGTAATAAGAACCATTCAGACAATTGAACAATGAAGCGTATATTTAGGAAAAGAAGATGGGAGGGGGTCAAGGAAAATTAACGAAGAGAGTATGGAATAATGATAGTAAATGAAACCTTTTATCAAGGCTAATTTGACCAAGGAAGAAAGAAAGATGTTACAGATTTCTTGTAAATACAAAGACTTGGGTTGTTAGCTCGAATTCATATGGCTTCTGCTGTGTAAGAGAGGAGGTCGAACCCCATAAGGAAAACTAGTAAGAGTATGACACATCACTCTAAATGATCTACTTTTAACTACTGCTTGACCGTTACCGATCAAGTGTCATAGAAACAGATCTGCGTATTGCTTTGACAATACTTCTTTCTAGCCACGAATGGAGGTGTTCACTAACTCCTTGGTTCATTTGTCTGCTAGTGCACCTAATATAGCTTTCTCCACAGGAGCAGCTGAATTTGTAGATACATATAGATTTGGCAGGACCAGGCAACTTATCCTTTAGTTAAGCAATCACCATAGACCGGGTTAAGAACTATAGACATTAGTTAGCTGCATTAAATGTTCTCTTCTTTGCTCTAGTCTGTCTATCCCGTAGCACATCACCAGCTATATCTCGATTAAATCGCAGCTCCAGGAAGAAAGGTATTTTGTTTATCAATATTCAAAACACTACATTGAAGCTCACGTAAATGCTTCTTTATTAGGTTTTACCTTATAATTATTTCATAAACTGAGTATATTCAGATGGCCATAACACCATCTGTTTAACACAAACATCTTTCAGTCTTAGTGGTTTCCATGAGATCCAATTGATTTTTATAGTTTCATAATAAATCTTGTTGAAATTCTTCAAGATTGCTGGTATCATAATGAATAAATTTTTTTTCAAACAGATTCGCAAATGATATCAAATTCGAATTGTGTTCAGTTATTTAACTGGAATAAAATACCAAAGTTTTTAATACAAACTCTAACTGCTTGGATGCTGCCCGAATCCTTAATAGAGTGTCTAATCCCATTAACTCTTGATAGGTGTTCTATAGTTTACTTAAAATATTTTTTTAATATTTTCTAATCATTATGTCTTCTCATTTCATGAGATCGTCAACGTATAACAAAATCAAATGGTATCATATGATTGAAGGGCCTGTTTGAATCGATTGAAAAGAAACTTGGGTTTTAGAAAATATGTTGTAATAATTTCCAGTTAAAAAGTACGTGATAGGTACTGAAAGATGAATAGTAGCTGGCAGTGGAATTCAGGACGCTCGTTTCATCCTATTTAGAACACCTCAGCTGAATGTACCTGCACCCTAGAGTTGATGTTCACTCCGGTGTTACATACTACTTATATCTGTTAGCATAAGTAGCATGCACCGCAGAACCACTAAGAATTAATAAGATAAACTTGTACAAGTTAGTGCTATTCAACTTGAACCATTTACTGATAATTCAGTTAGTTCTTTTTGTTCATAATAACAGATCAATATTAATTTCCGGAACTACATCCATGTATGTACATAAATGTGTGTGTGAGTGTGCAAAACTGTACGAATCACATACATTATATGTGATATGACAGCTGTTCAACTAATTATTGACTATATTGGAAAATAGACAAAAAAGACACCTGTTCATTATTCATTTGTCTATTCAGTAGCTTAAATGTCAGTCTACTTATCTGTCTATCTATCTACTTATCTAAAACTCTGTCAACTACCAATTACAACATTACACTGGTGTCATTCATTTAGCATCCACATAGTTTCTCTAAATCCCCGGTCTTATTGAATATCATTTACAGAGATTTTATATTCATTTCTCATTGAAACAATAATAATATTTCACTTTCTGTCAATAATAATAATAATAATAAGGTTGTTCATTATAAGTCTTAAATCAATCTAATCTGTAAAATTTAATCTCAATAAAATAACAATCATCATCAATAATTATGTTCCCTTCCCCCCCCCTCGAAAAAATTGATTATGAATATCCTTTTGTTTTAATTTATTTTTGTTTCTTGTGTATTCAGTTTATTTAATAAAAATTTCCATTTTTAGATAATTGAACATTGTAGGAAAGAAACTAATTTAGAGTGTCTGCTAAATGAAATGAAGTTATTATTAAAAATAATTACAGACTAGTAAGAATAATTAGTGTTTATATTTTATCCATTTGCCTTTTTTTGTATGTAGCATTTGTGTTTGTATAAAATTTGTTGTTGCTATGATGTATATTGATTACTGTTAGTAAATAATAAGAAAGTGTGAGTAATATTAATATGGGTTTTAGTGGTGTTGTATTGTCTAAGTTATATGGTTTAATTGCTAAGGTTATTATTAGCATAATGGATAGTATCATCAGTGGCTACTTGATGCAGAAACTCTACAATTAAGTCATCTAACTCAGAGAACACAATCATGCTAAAACATTCACCCGAGCTAAACATTTCTATCTTTTCAATAATATGGGTTTTCTTTATCCTATCATAAATAATGTCACTGGGATATATTTTAAAATATTGCTAACACTTAATACGATTTATATTATTAAGCCAGAAGGATGAAAAAATAAACAAATATTTGGTGTTTAGAATGTGTGGAATGTTTAAATGGTGGTTCTAGATGTTGTCGATAGAAATAGAGATACCTTACTCTTGTTACTGACCCTAACAATGCTGAATAAGATGAAGGGAATTTAAAAAAAAAAGAAGCTTTCTCTTCAGAAGTTAAATGTCAGTTTGTTCAATTCATGAGTATTTATTGATTGCCAGGTTGGCAAAGAATCATATCAAGATTGACACTTTGGCTGGATTCATAACTCACCTACTCATAAATAACTTAACATACAAACTTGGATCTTTGTTTACTTGTACGATCTTGAAATATCATATAATCCGCTTACATTTCTACTTGACGTAAGTCACTGCTAACTTCGTTTATCATTTATAATGGTAATAATTTTCTCAGATTGAAATCATGAGTCAACTGAAGCTAGACCACTATGGAAAACCTGGAAGAACTGGATGGCCGTTTCGTTCTAGTATGGGACTCAGCAGTGTGCATCCGCGAGACTCGAACCCGCGACCTATCACTCTCGCGCCTAGCGCTTAACCAACTAGACCACTGAGCCGGCATCCAATGGTGTTAATGTCCCACCACGTCTGTTGTGAGATATCAGCTCACTGGACAATGGTATACGGTGGCTCAACTTCGTGGATGGATTGAAGTTAGACATTAACCCCATTCAATGCCGGCTCGGTGGTCTAGTTGGTTAAGCGCTAGGCGCGAGACTGATAGGTCCCGGGTTCGAGTCTCGTGGGGTGCGGCCTCGTGGATGCACACTGCCGAGTCCCATACTAGAACGAAACGGCCGTCCAGTGCTTCCAGGTTTTCCATGGTGGTCTAGCTTCAATTGACTCATGATTTCAGTCTGTGAAATTTCTAAAATCTCCACAAGCTCCTTTTGATAATAATTTTCTTTTGTTTTCTAAATATTATGCAATAAGTTTTTTTTCTTTTCTTCTATTTATTCAAATTAATATTTTACTGTTTAGTCCTGTACATATTCAATATGTTACTAAACAAACGGAACAAGGATTTGTATTGGATTTATTAAAAATGTAAGTTTTAAATGTTGTTACTATGAACAAATTTAAAAAAAAATAGTTTCTTTTGATTACAGTCAGGTTGTTTCAGTACATTTTTAAGTATATAAAAATCCAACTTCACACTGAACACTGACATAAACCTTGTAGAGAAACTGTAGTGAATGAGAACTTAGATGGGGGAAAACTAAATTATTATTTAATGCAGAATGAGTGTCTTTGTAAAATATGAAAACCATGCATTAAATTACACATCTTCTTTCAATTGTCCCTTATATATTTCATGATTCGTATAATTCTGTTCTTATTCCAGTTACTCTCTATTTCACTTCCTGTTCTCTTTAATTCAATTTTCTCAATCTTATACTGTTAGGCATTCGACTTTTGATTAGTGTGACATGTTACTTATATCTGTCAGAATAAGTAGCACACACCACAGAAACATTAGTAATTTCTAAATATCAGACAATTGTTTCTCCTCCATTCCAATGGCAAACTTTTCAGTAATTTTAATTTATACTCTTATGTTAGATCGAATTTAATTCTTTCTTATAGGTATATGGCGGTATTATTAAGTTAATCATATTTTCAGAATGGGGGTTTGTGGAGATTGTAGCAATTTAATAGTTGAGTTCATGAGTCGACCTAAGTTAGACTATCATAAGAAACTGCCGTTTCACCCTAGTGTGGGACTTCTAAGCAGTGCGTACCATCGATCACCCATGCGGGACTTGAACCTAGGACCTTCGGCCTCGTACACGAACGCTTGAACTCTAGACCGTTGAGTCAACATCCAACAGTGTTAATGTCTAACATCAATAAATCCATGATCTTATGCAACCCTTCATTCATTGTCTGAAGTAAATAACTGTCCCTTTTTAAAACTATTAATAACTAATTAGCTAAGTTAGACATTTTAAAAATTCAAGATCGCAAATTTGTATACGTACATTTTGTAGAATTCAATCAAACATTGTTGGTTATAAATCTACTGTGAATTATAATTCAATCCGTTTGGAAACATTACGATGTGAAATACAAAATCTTATTATGCAATTTTTATATGTTATATTTTATTATGGGAAACAACAAGGTCATTTGATATGCTTAATACATCAGTTTTATGAAAATATACAATTTACTGAAGTGAGTTTTTAATATTTATCTTTGCTTTTACTCTTTGGTTTATCTAACTATTGAATTCATTTATAGTTTCATATTTTTCATTAATGTTTGTATTAGAAATATACCTAGGTGAAATATGTTCATTATTTTGAATTTGTTCAAACGTTACCTTCTGTTTACATGTGTATTAGTTCAAGTATGCTTTGTTACATCCGTTTTTCTTCCCGATAATCCTTTGTTAATATAGTCGTACCCAGTAACTTTCATCTCAGATACAAACACATTGCCCAATAAATTACAAGTCCAGATAGCCACTAACTTCAATTCGTTTGAGACATAGATGGTTGTTAGATATGAGCTTGATAAGTCATTCATTAACCTATAGAATTTGGGTTTGCTCATTAAGTTTCCTTATAGTTCACCACTACTGCATATTAAGCATAATTGATTATTTTCGTATTTTTAAAACTGACTACTTAGTTAATAAATGATGTTTGTTTTGTTTTATATAACAGCGGATTTTCGTAAATAGTTCGAATGATTACCAATCGTTCTCGATTTCTTTCGTTTTATTGAAGTGATTGATGAATTTTCGAAAAGCCATTTGAATATGGTGGGAGACTGATTAATAGTGGTGTTCATCAGTGTGTTCAGTAAAGTGCGAAAACTGATCACTTGTAAGCATTATTTTCGTTAATTTATTGGTTGTGGGTGTTGCCTAGAAATCTGATTGGAATCATTTCAAGCTATCTTGTATTGAAACTTCAATCTGAATATATCACCATCGCAAGTTATGTGATGGAAATGGTAAATCAAGTGAAATGTATAGTTTGAAATGAAATTATCAGTGAATATTAGTCTGTTATACGGAAGATGAAGTGAGTGAATGGACGGAGATTGACCGGAAATCGTTGTGATTGCACAAATATTGAATACTGAGGAATGGATGCGCTAGCGCTTTTCAGACACGTATCTTATCTCTTGATCACTGTTTTTGATTATTTTTTTTAGTGGGACTTCACTTTTCGTTAATCGAATATGGTGACTATATGCAATGGGTTTTTGTTGTTGTTAATCCTAGTTAATTGAAATTGACACATTAATTTGAATAGTATATATTGTATCAGTTATTATTTTATTAAATATAAACAATAGTGTTCTGTGTAGTCAGTAAGTGTGTGATAGGAAGAAGCAACACTCGGAATAGTAAGTAGTTGAATAGTGTTAGATGTAGCCCGAAGCACAATGGGGAATTTAGTTGAATCTAGATTTATTTCTCGACAAAATCGTCCCATGATTAGATAACTTCGTTTCAGTGGACCGAAAAGTTGAATCTCTATTAAGCTATTGATTTGTGTGTTGAATGAATTTGGTTAATGTTGCGTATATTTGTGACAAATGTAGGATAATATCTGATTTATTGTTTGTGAAGAATCTATTAATGTGTGTATATTTGTGCAAGTGATATTGAAGTTAGTTAGTTAGTTAGTTAGTTAGTCAGTTAGTTAGTTAGTTAGTTAGTCAGTTAGTTAGTTAGACATTTAAGAGCCATTGACCTTCTGTATGGTTATTGAGTGGTGGGGCTGTGTGGCAATTCTTATTTGAATTGAACTGTTTGACATTTATTGGTCAGATATAAAATGGAAGGAAGATAATAACTATATTTCGAATTGAATTTGAAAATTGTTTTATACTGATTAGTGTGTGTTATAATTTGTCGTTTGACTGCTTATTGTCTTGGCTATTTTAATGCTACTTTTTGTATCTGGTCATCGCTGATTGTTATGTCGGAAACGAGGGACCTCTCCGATTTGCGAAAGTAAGAACACAAAGACTGATATAAGTGATTTGTTAACTCCAAAACACTATGACGACAACTGTAGTAGAAAACACACTCATTTATATATTGATTGCACATCCATTTTGATTAATAATGATGATGAAATCACATATATAAAAAAAAACTTCGAGTTATAACAAATCACTTACTGAGTATAGTTCATGTCAATGGAATACAAGAATATCGTATATTACACAGATTAAAATATCATACGAGAAAAGAAAGCAAATAGTACATGGAGTAATCATTATATTGAATCAAAACGGAAGTAATCTTGAACAAAACTCATAATGAGTAAATCAATCGAAAATTGACTTTTCTTTCCATCATATCAATGTGACTTTATATAAATGCATAGAAACTAGAAGTATTTCGTCTTAGTCATCCCTGACCTCAGCAATGGGCATATCAGTGTTTACTTGTTGAAATCATGAGTCAATTGAAGCTAGACCACTATGGAAAACCTGGAAGCACTGGACGGCCGTTTCATCCTAGTATGGGACTCCTTAGGAGTGCGGCCGTCCAGTGCTTCCAGGTTTTCCATGGTGGTCCGGCTTCAATTGACTCATGATTTCAACAAGTGAAATTTCTAAAAATCTCCACAAAACCCATTCTGATATCAGTGTTCAGTTTTCTTTTCGACCGCCTCTAGAATACTTATTTAATAGTTATTGTGTAATGGCTTATCAACAGTATTTCAATTTGTAGTAAGTAGTTTGAATGTTTCATTTTTTGTGTATATAATTTCGATGGCAATGATAACGACATTACGGCAACTGACAAAATTATCGTGAAATGAATCCAAAACATTAAGTATACTATTCTTCACAGTTTTTTTTGAAATCATGAGTCAGTTGAAGCTAGACCACCATTGAAAACCTGGAAGCACTGGACGGCCGTTTCGTCCTGGTATGGGACTCCTCAGCAGTGCGCATCCACGATCCCGCACCACGCGGGGCTCGAACCCAGGACCTACTGGCTTCGCGCGCGAGCACTTAACCACTAGACCACTGAGCCGGCATCCAACGGTGTTAATGTCTAACTTCAACCAATCCACGAAGTTGCGCCACCGTACACCATTGTCTTCAGTGAGTTGTTATCTCACAACAGACCGGTTGAACTCCACTGGTAACGGCTTCTCACTAGAACTTCGGGAGTTTTTCCTGAAGTCAGTCACTAGTGAGCAGTTGATTATTATTATCAGAATGGGTTTTGTGGAGAATTCTAAAATTCTAAAATTCTCCACAAAACCCATTCTGATATACTATTCTTATTTAGATAGAACACACAGTGTGATATTTTCCCTGTTTCATACTATGTTATCGACACTTTTGAGTGGATACCGTTACTGATACGAGATTCAAATTTTTTATGAGAAGTAGGTCTGTTCTAATGACAAAATCAATAAATTTAATTGATTTTATTCTGCCATGCACTACTCGTCATGACCAATTATGTTATGCGGAATTGATAACGGTCTACTTTATATAAATTGTTAGGTAGGTTTGTAGTGGCATTAATTCCTAGACACACTAATACTGACTTAGACCTAAATCCTGAAGGTTGACTTAATCTATTTTATACTATAGATGAAACGGAATTCGTAAAAAAGGGTAATTCTTGAACGATTACGACGTACATCTCATGAATGTTGGTTCATAATTTTACATGTATATTTTATCATCAATGTTATCATATGGTTATAATAATAATAATAATAATAATAATAATAATAATAATAATAATAATAATAATAATAATAATAATAATAATAATAATAATAAGTATATACATTAAGTTGCACCATTTTAAATTGTTCTGGTTGAGTGTCAAGTTTTTTTCTTAATTTGTTCGTGGATAGTAGTTGGAGTGTTGTGTGCCGTTATAGAGTCCTCAATAAAACCGTATGTTTCAAAATACTTCATTCGCTCCTTAATTTACAAGTATCTTAGACGATCCGGATACCCCCGGTACCTTAATCATTGTCATAAGAATTTCATAGTATCTGAAACTTATTTCGTATTATATCTACTATAGAAGATAGTTATTATTAGTGGGGTCTATGTTCAATACTTCCTTATTCATGGTATTTCATCCCTTGATGTTGGCTTTTTGACAAGAGCTATTGTAAAACTATAGAAAACTCTGTTAACCACATAACCAGATGATTATGTTAGGAAACTGTAACCTATGAATTCAAATAATGCTGGATTTTTACATTTTAACACTGGCAACATTAGATATACATCGTACTGTATCAGAATTTAACTGAGGTTGGTAATTATGTATCATTAAATTCCAACCTAATGGATGAATTTTCATCTTTCCTCCCCAAGACATGGATTATTCTTTATTTGATTTCATGTGGAGTTGCAAATAATTATTGAAAATGTAGTGATATTATTGAATTTTATTTTGTTGAAGCTTCCTAAATTGTTATTCTTTCTCAATGTTTCATGTGTGCAACGTTTTGTAAAGTTAAATATAATAAAATTCCAACTGTTATAGTATCAAAGTTGTGCTGATACTTTATTCTTTCCTTACGTGATTCAAAGAAATGTGAGAGAAGTTTACATTTAGAAATTATGAATTGGACATATAGTCAATGTGAAGTAAATGTTATTTCTTGTTGAGAATTCTTTATCGCAATCAAATATTGAATTAATTAATTTTTAATAATTAAGTTACCGGATGAATTTGTATTTTTTTCGTGGTTCGCTTTATAAAGTTTTTACTCAACTTATCGCTTAATCCCCTTTAATCACTTGTGGTTTTACTTCATTTAAACTTCCTTTCCTATCCGTTACTCCATCTTATATTTTTATTTAATTTAAAGTGGATTCCAGAATTACGCGATCGTTCACTTTGGGAATTAATAATCAATTCATATTATCGAAAGAAATATCATTTTGATTATTCAATGATGGAAACATTTAGTTCATGTTTACCATCATCTGATGATAATTCTGAAAATACTATGGTGTTAAATTTTTTAAAAGATTTTTCAAATTTTCTTGAAAATGAAGCATTATGTAAAACAGAATGCTTCCAGAATAATAATGACAATAATAATATGAATATTTACAGTCCCAGTATTGATAATGTTGAACAAGAACCACATCAACGTATATTATCACACCGATTGAGTAATAATAGCAGTACTACTAACACTACTAATAATGGTTATAACATTAAACAATCCAGTATCCAATTACTAATTTCAGTATGTCGAGTACAACAACTAATTAATAGTTTATTATTTACCAGAATGAAAACGCCATTGGCTCGTACAGTAAGTTCAGTTGTATTAAATATCCTAATTATGATGCGCTTTTCATTCTTTTTATAGCTAATATTCGTAAGTTAACGGTATTTGATCATAGATGTCTTAGAAATATTGCACGCATCTTCTGGGATCATCGGGTAAGTAATAGTGAGGTTAGACACAGGATGTGAGGGAATGATGGTAAATCAGTTGATCAGGTTGTAAATCTACATCGACTGAGATGATTGGGCCACGTATTACACATACCCAACCACCGACTACGATGGTGCACAATGCTGACTAGTGTTGAAGACAGATGGGAGAAAGTCAGGGGTGGCTAAATCAAAACGTAGTATCAGTTTATAAAGTCACTAACTTCTGGTCTTAGCCATGTTGGTAGATGGAGACTACTTGGTTGGGGTCCGCGCGACCGTCGTAAACAGTGGCTGGAGACTGTGGGTGATATGGCTCAGAATCGATTACAATGGCATAGGTGTATACGCTCTCTATCTTCCCTTAAACCATGAGATTAAAATCACTTCATATTTTTCTTTCTACGAACTAATTCTTTCTCCCTGTATCATACCCTTATACGAACTCTTTTTTTATTACTACTGCAGTAACTGCTTCTATGAACTTGGTGTTCATCTTGTTGTGCTGATGAGGTATGGCAACTTGTACCGATGCATATATGTGCCTGTTCCTACGTTCTAGATGACTGATTGATAGCAGATATTTAATATCGCACGAGATCAGTTATTGTTGACTTGTATGATTTCTGAACGGTGTTTAATTCTAATTTATTGAGTATAGTTGAATTGTGATTGACAATGGGATCCGGTATAATAAATACTTCTGGTTAAAATATGATCTCTAGATAATCCGCTCAGGTTCCAATAACTTCGATAGAGACCAATTTATAGGAGTCTGAAATATCAACGATGGAAAATTACAAACATAACCGAATAATTTAATATCCATTTAACTAATTTATGGGTTCAGTAATTTTGTGTGGTTAGCTATAATGCGGAGCAGATGCACCCGTCTAGCTAGTTCAAGATAGGACGGAACTCACATCCTGGATCCCACTGTTGTTTACAAATTATACCGTAATAAAAATTATTTCAAATTTTTGACCCATCTGTTCAGTCACCATAACACACTGGATGAATATGTAACAGTTCAAATTTTGACAGACTGGGAAGGGTAATCAACAAGGCGAGAAACCATTACATGAAAACCTATAGAAATCTAAACATAAGAAATACTCTAAGATAGAAACTAGTGAGTTTGAAAAAATAATTGGGAAGATTTCTTGAGCTAAGATTTAACTCAACTGCCCCCCCTATCATCTAACATCCGCATCGACTGATGGTAGTGATTGATCTTATTCATTTAACGTAGTCTGCACCTACGATCATTACTCAGATTAACAATCCATGACTTCACAAATTGATACTACCATCCACTAAACTGCTGACAAATATTCTAGCAATCAAGTGTGAGTTGTACATAACTCTTAGTATTATAAATATTTATTTATTTCGGTTTTCGTAATTCTGAAAGATCAAATTGATACTCAGTAGGTTTCAAAAATCCTACAACACTAATTAGGTGAAGGCCTCAAATGTTGACTGTCTAATTCACAGTCACTTTTTATCTTTTTGTCTGTAGTGTAGCGCCGACACAGTGATTGAGGCGTTCAATTTCCAACCTCGAGATCCCAAGTTCAAACTTCTCTCCACCCGATTCAGTATGACCCCTCATACTCAAAGAGTGGCTTAAAGTTGAGTGAACGAGTCTGTATCTGATAATTGAGTTAGTAATAACAAATTTTGTTTGTCAGTTATGCTGTTTCACTGTAGTTTTTATTATTATTATCTTTCTTTAATATTTCTAGTCCGAAGAAACCGTTGAAAAAATGAAACAACTATGTTCAGTAGTGTATTTTGATAAGTATACAATTAATCCAACTGAGCAATGTATTGAAGAAGCGTGTATTAAACTAGGTTTCAAGGTATGGTGATTGTTTTTATAATTTATATCATTGGGCTCTGATCTTAGTGGAATTCTATGGTGGGGAAAACACTCGGCTTCTAACTAGTAGCTTGCACTTCGGAGCATTGAGCTTCCGAATCCCGTATGAAGTTGCGAATAGCCATAGCACAAACAGTTATTAAGTACCGTTGAGAATTTCCTAAAACCATTCTTCAGAAGTCAGAAGGAGTACTAAAAAAGTACCCCAAAAACCAGACCATTTTTGTAGTCTCTTTAAAAAATCTAGAAAAAACCTTGTTATGGTTTCTTTTTTCTGTTCAAACCAAGTTCGTTACTGATTTTAACATCTTTTCCTTAAGTTTCTAGGATCCTTAAGTTCCTTATAATTTATTAAATTATTTTTTATGTACAGGAGATAACCTTTGAAGCACAGCTTTTATGTCTTCCATCATTCATGTTCTGTTCATGATATAACGGCGGAATACGTCGCCACAGTATACTACTATTTTACGATAATACAATATGTGACCGTTATTACACCTTTCTCCTCGAGGCTGAATACTCAGTTGACACTGTATACAGATTAATGGATCACGTTATACCAGATACACGATTTAGGACCAAAAGCATAGTATATATGTCTATCTATATGGGCTAGACAATGCTTTACTCAATACAATTACGAGTAATCTACCCTCAGTGAGTATAAATGTAGAAATTAATAACAAAAAGAAAATTCCCTAGTAAATAATTAGTAAACTGAGTGCCTATCTATTCATGCTCAGTGGCTAATCACATCTAACTTTTACCAGTCACATATCAGTTCAACATTGACTAGTCAAAAGTTTCTAAGGACTTGAAGCGGCTAGGAATTCACTTGCTGAATCATTCAAAGTACTAAACGTATCAAAACAGTGTACAGCAAAGTCCTATGCATAAACATGCTTCTTATATAAGTTAGTAACATTATTCTATAGGAAAGAATTTATATGATACATTGCAAACTTTAACTTGAAAGACAAAAATAATTTTTGCCAAAATCTGTCGTATACTTTTATCAAAAAGTTATAAAAGAGTAAAGAGGTATGATGGAAGTACACTACTATATTTATAGTAGTGTAGAGCCATGAAGAGCAGATTAAGGCAATGGATTTGTAAATTTACGTCAATGGATTAATTAGTCTTTGATATGATTACGAATATCACTACTCATGTTATTAAGTATGTTCTTCTACTTATCCCTATATCGTCTAATTCATTTCTGTGATTTTCTTTCCTTGAAACGTGATATAAAAGATGAATCAAAATATTTTCCTTTCGGTGCTATACTATGCTAATACAATAATACGGTAATAAGAGTGGACCAGATGACCGGCTTTATAAAATCACTAAATTGGGTACTCGAACGATCCACAACATACAGACCAGATCACGTTATATCAAATACCCGATTTACAACTAAAATTAGAGAAACAGATGAAAGCTAGAGAATAATTTATGCCACATAATTACAAGAGGTCATTCTCAGTGAGTTCGGAGCAGAAACTAATAAGGGGAAAAGCAATTACATAATTCATAGACATTAATCTGAGTGTCTGTTTATTCACACTCAGTAACTACTTACACTTACTTTCACCACCAAACATCAAAATGATAGGTTTTTGGCAATGGAAACCTGATTCTTTGTATTATTGAATTGTGAATTGTTAAGGTTCCAGTAAGTACTTAGCATCATTTCATTAAAACATATCAAAAGATTATAACTTTTGCCTGTTAGTAATGAATAATTGAATTTTAAGGTAGTTTCTACCACACATCGGCTTCAACTGGTGAAAACTCTGTGAGGTACTGAGTAGGTCATTCGTTTTCAGCTCAAAACCTCTTAGCAATGTACACACACGACCTCATTAACTGACTAATCCTTACTAACATTTATGTCAGATTGAGTTATTATTATCATCCGACTGTCCACATTTTTAACTTCAGGTAACTCACTTATTGTGACATAAATATAACAAATATTTGCTCAATCAGAAGGTTTCTTTTCAGCGAATTCATTTACAATCTCAAATGTATCCCTGTGTTAAAATTATAAGCATAAATACATTTTTTAATGAGAATAGTGAAAATTCACTGAAAATAACAAGAGAACGATAAAATAAATAAAGGTACAAAACCTTTTTCTTTATTTAAGATCTGAAATTGTAGTTTTGAGAGCTTGCATTTGTGCATTCCCTCGATGTTCGATAATCAATATCAACAGTATTAACTACTCAATAATCAACATTCTAATGCATTTACAAATTTAAACAGATGAATTCGCGAGTCAGTCTAAGCTAGACCATCATTATAAACCTGGGGTCACTAGACAGCCGTTTCGTCCTACTGTGGGACTCCTCAGCAGTGCGTATCCATGATCCCACATAGCACTCAAAGTCAGGAACTTCGGTCTCGCGCGCGAACGGGTAACCCCTAGACCACTGGACCGGTATCCAAAGGTGTTAACGTCTAACTTCAATCGGTTAATGATCTTGCGCAACCCTTCGCCCATCTACATTTACGTATGATAATAATAATAATAATAGTACTAGTAGTTACTTTTATTACAGATTTAGTTTATGTAGAATGCCTCATCTCTACTTGCTATAAATATTATTTTATTGACTTGAACTATTTTAGATACCAACTGATCCATATGCCGATTTTGAGAAACCACCAGGTACACTTGGATTTCAATGTATTTATAATTATATAATGAAAAATAGAAATAAAGTTATTGATATGCTTAATTATGCTTACCCATGTCAAAAAAATTCCTATTTAACCAATAACACCACTAATAATCATTGTAAATTGTATCATTTATCAGAACTCAATATATTATCTTCTTTGAATGTGAATAGCAATAATGATAATATTAATGTGAATGAAATTAGTAGTAAGTCGTCACAACAACGTGTTCAACGTCATTTTTCCACTGTTGATTCAAATTCTATTCAAAATATATTACATACTACTCATTTACATGATGATAGTATACAAAATCAACGTAATAATTTTATTGGACGACGATTTACACTGGATTCATTAATAGCAACATCTAATTTATCACAATCATTTAAACCAATGAAAGAGTATTATAGTCATAATAGTTTTTCATGTAATTATTCCATTTCATCATCTTCTTCGACAAGTTCATCATTGATTGATAAGAAGCCATTATTTCCAATTATTGAAGCTGCTAATGCTGTGACAAGTATGCTGTGTGAATTGCTTACAACTAATGGTAAGTAAACAGTAGTAATGAAAGAGGAAAATATGCGTACTTTGTTTTTTGGTAGTTTATCTATGCTTGATGTTGATAAACTGTAAGTATAAACCAATGAGCAAATGTAAAGCTTCATGTGCAATCACTTGACTTTCTGTGACATTTTTCTTTGTGTATAAGTTAACTATAAGGAAAGCTGTTCTGTTTAGGATTAGTTTAAAGTAACTCCAAATCGCAAAAGATTACAAGATTCTACTAATGCGAAATAAGATCTACTTGAACTAAATAGATAGATGACACTTCAAGTATGGAAGAAAGAAAACAGAAACTCAGGAAAATTTTGGTTTTTAAAGAAGTTAGAATTACAGTAGAACAGTTGTGTTTGTATACTAACCACTCTGGTCTTGGGAAGTATGATAAAAATAGCAATGATTAAAGCAGAACTAACCATTCAGATACCATTAAATGTTAGTGGTATCATATATGAACTCCAAAATAGTTACTGAAAACAAAGTTAGAAGTTCGCACACCCACAACCCAAAGTTTGAATTTCCAGTGATATAACTGCGAAAGCATGATCGTGATACAGTTGTATTAACTCCACTGAATGAATACTACAATTCATTGTGAATAAAATATCATTCAAAGACCTAAAGGAGAAATGAAGAAGCTTTAAAAAAATTGTCTCTTTATTTATCAACCTCCTCTTATTGAACAGATCACTATTCACTAATGACTAGTCTCAGAATAAATCTTTTTTCAAATTTTTAATGAAGATTGATACTTGTTGGTGATACCAGATGATGATAATTATACTTTAGAGAAAATGATCCATTATATTGAACGATCATGTGATTATTTCTTAAAGTAGTGTACATTATTGTAAGTTTCAAACTGGATTAAAAAGCATCTTTATTATAATTTTATATTGTTCATTATGATTTTGTAAAGTATTTCCGATCTAGAATAGAAAATTATTTTTAAATTAAACCAATTTATTTAATCTATCTTACCTAAATTATACTCCATTTTCTTTGTTAGATACAATTCATGAACCAAATATTATCATAGAACAAGATGATAAGGATTTTTATCTTTCATCACCGTTATATCCAATTTTACTTAATAAATCAAATAATAATACTAATCATTATCAAAGTAATTTATCATCATTTGAAGATATATTCGATTGTGTTTTTTCAAAATTTTTCTCTTCATGGACTCAAATGAAAGCTGTTTCCAGAAGATTTGATTGCAGTAGGTTTTCACTTATTTACTGTTGGTTTTTCACCGTTTCTATGTGTATTTTTATGTTTTATTGATCTAAAACAGCTCAAAGGATATTCAGTATTTCTGTCAGTTTACGATATACAGAGATCCTTTTGTATACAGAAGTAATTTCTGAAATTTGTTTTGATTAATTCTGTCTGGTTTGAATTTTGTGAAGACATGCACCTGGCTGGAATGAGACGGCTATCCAGTGCTTCCAGGTTTTCAATGATATATATTTATATATAAAGGTAGTTCTCTACTTGATGAATGTAAGAAAGATAAATAAAAGAATGAGTATGTTCCAAAAAATAACTTACAAAATAAGTTGAGATGATGATGTTAGTGCCATAATGAATTAGGGACTTGGATGTACTTTTGTGATCAGCTGATCTGACTCAGATTTGGATGAACGTATGAATATGCCATGAATATAAATCTTCCATTTATCTCCGTATTCTGTAGTGTCGTTTGCTATGTCAGGCCCGCATAGCTTATTCTAGCTTCTAGACAGGCCAATTTATTCATTCTTCTTGAGTCATATTTTGACTTTGTTAATTATTCGCTTGTCAACTTGACTGTTTTTATATAAGCATATGTGCATTTCTTATCTTACTCATCACATGTCCGTAACTTATTTTTGTCTAGCTATAAGTATTGAGTAACGCATAATTAAAGGGAGTTGGCTCACTCACCGTCTCCACCTCGTGTTAGTTCGTTTTGCTTCGCTTTCTGATCAAGCATTGTGCGAAATAAACGTATTCAAAAACCCATTCTCGTATTTGACTTATTTAATTCCTTTATTCACTAACACGAGTAAGTCGTTATTTATATGTGAAGATTGGCGACATGTATATTCCGATAGCAATCAGCAAATGACAATTGAAGTCAGATAACAGGGTCACTAAAACACTACCGAGGCTAACTCCATGTGTGTGACACCGGTAATAAGAAGCCAAATACGAGTTACGTTGAAGGGATTAATTTTAAGCATTCGTTATTCAGACAGACATTCATAATAAGAAGCGGAGAAGGCGAGTGAGCCAACTCGATTTGATCAAGCGTGACTCATTTATTTTCAGACCAAAATAAGTTAAAGATACGTAATGAATAATAACAGCCTACTGTGGGAAAGAACAAACCAACATCCAACTGAAGAGGAAATTAAGAAAACATATTGGAAGTGGATAGGATACACATTGACGGAATCATCAAGCTGCATCACGAGGCAAGCACTAACCCGGAATCCTGAAGGGAAACGGAAAAGAGGAAGGTCAAAGAACACACTGCGTCGAAAATTGGAAGCAGACATGAAAAGGATGAATATTAACTGGAAGGGATTGCCCAGGACAACGTTGGGTGGAGAATGCTGGTGAGTGACCTATGCTCCTCCATGAGGTGTAACAGGCGTAAGCAAGTAAGTAAGTAACGTAATCGATAAAGTGAATAATTAACACATACTATCATATGAAAACAGACAGGGCTAATAAGCGACTAATTAACAAGGTCAAAATGTGGCTCAAAAAGAATGGATAAATTGGTCTGTCCAGAGGCTAGAATAACACATGTGAGCTTGACATAGTGTAGTGAACAAGATCACGAGCGCGGACAACCGGATGTATTGAAGAAAAAATTACAGAGCATCTCACTAAAATCTGAGAACCATATAGTAAATAGTTGCTTTGTAAAATATCAATCCATCGTCTCAAACTTGACTGTTTCCTTTTGTAAATATCAGTCCATTGCCTCAGATTTCATTGTTCATGCATTTTCATACCGTTCCCGTTCTTTCCTTATCGACCTACTGAAATACATTCTATGCCTGACCACCGTTCTATACTGCTTATGTGGATATAAGTAACCCACACCACAATAGTACCAGACACTATAGTACCACTTTTGAACTTAAAAAGTAAACTTTGTTAACACATGTTCATCTCTTCTTTTTCCCTTTTTTGTTTGCCAGATTTTCATAGCTATCTTTTCTATATGTTTTTTTTTTCATTCTTATAACTGTTTGACTATTACTTGAATTGAAATTCTTCTGCTTCACTTTTGGTATTTTTGTTACTGACCCACCATTTTCCTATTTTGCTATATAGACTACTATGTGTAAAAGTAACTAAGACTAAAAATGGTACGACTTTAGTAAATGACAATGTCAAAAAAGAAAATTTATTCGTTGAACTCTCGTTGATTTGTCTAGTAACACAATACCTTTCTTTTGTTCCAATGTTCTTATACTAATGTTATATATACAAATATAGAAAAGATTGTTTATTGTAAGTAGCAATGTTAACTGGACACTTTTTCAAGAAAGGAATAAAAATGCATACACTTAGTGGATTACAACAAATCAAGACGTCAAGTATGTATTATTGTATGTTCTTATACCCTGAATATGAAATACAATTTGATGAATATTATCGGTGTAAGTGTTCGTGAAGTTTGCCGAATTTCATAGTTTACGTCACGAACTCACCTTATTTAGCCAACGACTGAGAACCGAGAAGCATATGCCACGAGACCTAAAGATCCTATGCTCGATTCCCAGTAGAGTTTTAGATGCTCGTTGCTGTGGTGTCTCATCCTAACACGAAACAGCTCTCCGTTGCTCCCTGATTTTGAATGATTGTCAAACTAAATCAGTCTGTGTAGTAAACTATTTACCAGTGTTAGTTTTGGATTAGATAGCTCTTCGAAAGAGAATCGGTTTTGAAACAGAAATATATACCAATAAATATTTTCATAGACCTTATTTGCCAAATAAGAAAGTCATTAAAATACTTTTCTCAAGTTTGTATTCAGTATCATCCTTAAGATTGTTTATGGCATCTCATATGTTCAACTCTCAGTATTTAATTCCATCATAAAATTGACGAATGACATAAACATCATTTCAGTTTCCACTCATACATGCATGGTGTAACAATTATGGGAGTAGATTTTATTCAGCATGTCTACCTATATTTTCAGTTAGTCTGTTTATCTATCTTAATGGATATTTGTTTGCGTGTATTGTGATAGACGATGCTAATCGATCTGCGATCCAAGTTATAAAAAGAGTTATTTACACCCACTCATCATACTCTTGTTGACGTTGTGTACAGACATAATACATATAGACATGTGAATTTATCTGAGAGACAAAAACAGTATTCAAAGTACGATGGGTAACTAGTTTAAATATGGTGACTTTTGATTTTGCTTGTAAAATGATGGTAAACACGTTTATTCGAGATTAGATAATAAACAAAGTAGGTGAATGTAAGTTATTATCATTTATTTGTTTTTCTAAGAAATTTTTTGGATTTTTCTCTCAGAAGAAAAACAGAACGGTGGAATTTCAGAACATAGTTATTGTATTTTAATCTTTTTGGTTTAATATAAATGTTTATGATATGATATACTGCAAGATATATTGAAACATACGTTCCTAATATACAACGCTTGGGATTTAAAGGCATTAATTCTACTTTTTTTAGGGGTGGACAACTAAAGTCCAAATGATAATCGCATACAGATTATATATATATAGTGTTACTATTATTTTTGTTATTATTACTATCAGTGCCAATGACCTTGTATGATATTATATTTTAGGACACCGTAGAGAATTCTAAGAGCAAAGAAACTTTTCAACAAGGTCATCATGATATCTATATTTTAAGTGCGAAATTACCTTGACCTGAAGATAGGTTCCTGTTCATTCCTAGCCTTTGAAAATATTTCTTCATCACATAATAAGGGTTTCATCAACATGGAGCCTGGCGCAGATGTGCGTTGTCTTAAATGTTTATACGTCCACGTTTGGATTCAAAACAACTTCCTTTCGTTTTAAAATTCAGTGTATTATCCGATAAGCTTCCAAGCTGATATAACCACTAACTTCGTTAACGGGGTCAATGCTTATATCACTATCAATAAGAATTTTTTTCTAGGAAGCAATAAGGGTATTAAAACGAATAATTAATTGAGCTAAAAGCGTTTAATTTCCCGTTGGAAGGAAATTTCCTTAAGATTAATTGCCTTAAAGAGAAGATCAAACTACGCCATTAAATGGTAGTGGCATTCATTATTAGAGGCTGGATATTTTCCCGTCTCCCCTTAATATATACATATCATACGTATCTTGATTTTTTTGACATCAATATTTTGACAGGTAACATTGATTAACTAAGTCAGTTCATCAATAAGTTAGCACAATGAAAAGAAGGATTTACTCAAATAAACTCATTTGAATATCAATTCTACCATCGTAAGACTAACTGATTTACAGTAAAATGAATCAACTTTTAGACCATTTATTGATTCATGTTACAAAAATTTGACAACTGTAATATTTGGGTACTAATAACTTGTTGACGTCCCAGATAACTTCTAGAAATCTACAGCTCTACGATTTTTGAATTCTAAACAAATAAAAAAGATGTCCGTCTAAATATAGAAATCAAATGGTTATTTATGCGATTAAAAGCGATCATAGAGCTTTGGAAACTTAGAAAAATATACCAGTTGAAAAAGTATTTCTACATTTTTGATTTTTTTTCCCGAGTTTTCTCACATTTACTTTCTATCACAAACAGGTATGTCCTTTAAAAAAATGGTTGAATTGCTTCTCTTTTTTTTATTTGAAAGATACATAGTTCATGTTATTTAGGCATATGGCAAATTAGCAATTAAATGTTGACTTATATGTTGTGCCTGTGGATTACTCTGAATGATTGAACATCACTTATATTGATATTTTGACTATATCAACTTGTCTATAGTCCGCTGAACACAAATGGAAAGATCGTTTGGTTTCAGTTATAAACTCCATTCATCTATGGTTTAGAGGTGGAAAAAAATTGTCTATGGTTTTAAGTAGCTTTTGTTCAACTATTTAGGCTTATTAAATATGACGAGGAGTTTCTGTTCCCTCAATTCCATTTAGAAACATGACCTTTATAAGCTCTTGCATTGTATTCTATCAACAAAATAAGTCGTTTTAAGTTCAGTACACAACAACTTATCATAAAGGGAGCACGTGTGGTCAATTATGCATAGATACATCTAGCGTAATGAAATTTTGGTTTAAAAATAAATATTTCATAATCTGTACAGTTGATGAATTAATAATGTTTGATTTCGAATAGTATAGTTTATATAATATTGATTGATCTCTGGTTTGTGACTCGTATCGTGTTTGTTTAATCCTTTTTGGCTCACATAGTGCTTATCAGTCAAGTTGCAATATGGCTACTAGCCTAAGGGACTCACCATTGCTTGCACTATGTTTTGATGTTTAGTGGTTGAAAGTAATCAACAGGAAACTCTACTTAACCCAGGTCTTAGGTACCTTGGCATTCATCAACGAAAGCCTACCTACAGTCTCGAGAGAACTGATCATTCCTATAGTATTTGAAGCCTCATCATTCCCCTCAAGATTGCAGTTATGCCTTGCTAGCCACTGCGAAATAGCGAGAAACCTAGTTCAATCGGTGTTTTCTGTATACCATATCGAGTCACCTAACATAAGTTTTAATTGTGACTCGAATGAGTTAAGAGCCTTTGCATAACTTCAATCAGCAACGGATTCTTGATTCATCACATCTTGCTATAGGTTATTTAGGAACTTAAGATATTTGAGTAAAGTGATTGAATAGATTATAAACTATAGATCACCAAGATTTAATGTTTTTCCTAGAATAAGCAGTATATGAATGATATTTCCATCAATCTATTGATTCTAAATTCAATAATAACAAACCCTTCAAATTTATGGTCGAAAGCATACCTTTATCTAGTTTGTAATACTTTATGGAAGTACTATGTGGTCAGAGGTAGTTGGTAGAAAACCCCACCTTACTTAATTTTCGTGCCGGTTAACACTCGTCAACTAAAACCTACCTTGAGTCTACAGGGAATTGATTATTGCTGTTGGAGCCGAAGCCGCTTGCCTACAATCTTGCTCTATAGAATTCGATCAATACTAAAGACTAAACAAATATGATATGTTTTAACCGTTATTCATTAATCAATCATTTGTAACTTTTACGGTTTTCAAAAGGCTTAACAGTGTATTATTCACTTCATATTGTAATGTAATGTGTTATGTATATGGGAAGAAATGAAATGAAAATAACTAGATTGTGTAAATTCGATCTGTGCTTCTTGTCTATCTATAGTTAATCGTTATTGCTCTCTTTTGACTCCATTTTTGCATACAAACCACATTTAATAATTGTGCAGTAACATTTGTGGAATTTATTTATTTGTTTAAAAACTTTATTCAATGAACTAATTTTTAGAAGTGACAACGTTCTGTTGCATTTTTATCCTAAGGATTATATGACAATTTTTCTGATCTAAAAAGCAAAAAACATTATACCAAAATCATCCTTTTTTCAGCATAGGATTGTGAAGATTATCGATTTTTCATGGAGATTAGGAGTCGATTAATATTAGACCACCATCGAAAACCTAAAAACACTGGTCGTCTGTTTCGTCTTATCATGGAGCTCCTAAATAATGCGAATATACGATTCCTCACGCGGGACTCGAACCCAGGACTTCCCATCTCGTTCTTGTTAATTTGTAACTAGGATTTCCTTATTATAATTGTTATCAATCATTTACTATCAATCCATTGTCATTTAGATTATACTATTCAATCATCCAGTCAAACAATAAAGATGTGTAGTTTCCCCAAATAATCCTATTTTATTACAAAACCCTATATGTGATATGTGTTGTAATACATTCATTTAATCTGTTTTTGATTTCCATCTGATTGTATCGAGTACTTTCAGAGATAATTGATCATTGCTTCAATTGTTGTTTAGTCAATTAAATATAATAATATTCTTTCTCCAATCCTTCTGTGGAGAGTACAATAATTTTGTGTATAAGATCTAAAGTTCACGTATGAATATTGCTTTACCACTCAAATAAAGTTAGACTGATTTCTTTATTAATAGTTTTTAGTAGGGGATAGACGCTCTTGAACATTTACTTCAGCAACTATTAATCATTTAATTAAACTTCTTTCTCGTTGGTCAATCCAAACCTTCATACAATGTTTCAATAAAGATTTATTATAAAAATCGTGAAAGTTATATAAAAATAAAACATTTTTAACTGATGACACCTGTTTATTTATCTGAATTGAATGCTGTTCAGTAGTTTGCATCACCGATTGACTTTAGTGAGACAGACATTTCAAACTATAAACTGAACAGCTGTTTCATACCAGTATTGAACTCCTCAGCAGTGCGAATCAACGAACCCACTTAAATTCGAACCCATAACCTTCAGGTTTTACAATGAGTGCTAAACCTTTAGATCAATGAATCGGCATCCACTGGAAACTCAACAACCTCTACAAAAACACCTCATAATAATGAATAATATTATAAATAAAGGAACAAAACATTCAATAAACTAGTGTTATCATTCCGGCTTTCACGTTTTTTCGGTTATTCAGTCGTTTTTTTTGTTTAATACTTTTAATTTTGGAAATATTTTTTGACATTCTACTGGAATTTCGATTCTATAAAGTACATAACCCTAATTATCACTTTGTATTCGATTTTCTTTAATGTACATTACACATCTAGATTTATTACAAACAGAAGTTAACTTGTCGAATTATAATTTTGATAATTGTTAGGTAGGATCGTTCCGATAGTTGGCTTTTCCTGTATGCCCATCCTGACACAGCAATAACATCCTGATGGACCTGAACCCTAACCTAAATATTAGTCATGTAGACTCTCTTTAATACCTTGTAATCGTTATTTTTCTTTTCTACAAATTCTTTCTTCTCTAATTACGTGTTTACAGCCTGTTTACTTTGCTGCTGTTGTTGTTATCGCTACATTTTTTTGCATCACATAATCATAAAACTTATGTATAGTCTTCCTCTCTCTCTCCTTTAACTTTCTTATTTTATTGAACTTTTCATTTCACCAACCGTGTCGTTTCATTTTGGTCAAATAGATTTTATGCGTGGTACGAGAACAGATAAATCGTATTTTGAAAACCATTCCTATTTCACTTGAAGAATTTGAAAATTCTCTGGTAAAATTTAATCCATATGATGTACCATCTATGTGGTCGAAACGGGAGAATCGTCTACGTGTAGATATGTTACATAATCACCCGGCATTAATGTAAGTTTCGTGTTTTAGTTGTTTGATTATTGGTTGATTAAAATTGTGAGTTTATAAATTGGATTTTTTGGTATTGTAAGAGTTTGCTAATAATACTAATCAGTAGAAGAAATGTGTTATTACCTTTTGACTCGATTCCTGATAATATTGATGACGACAAGTGAAATACTGACCCTATCAACTTGGTGTACATAGTACTTCGGCTGGCCTCATTTATAAAATGGTGGTACTTAAAACCCAAACACGGAATGCGTCTGTAAAGTCATACTTCAATACGTTTTATATCACTGTTTACATGGAACTATACGTTTATCATGATATATAGAAATATAGATATGCATGCAGAAAATGTACCTAGATGAAAGGTGATAATCAATCATATATAGTTGTATACAGCATGACCAATATTATTACAGTGAGCTGTGCAACAGTCACATACATATTTTATGTTCGTTCACACAAGGATTTGTATAAATCTGAGATACCACTCGTGGTAGGATCGCAGATTTCATTAGGTTTTTATTATGTTCCAAATGTACAAGTGGTCTCTATAGATGATATGGTTTATTTATTTCTGGTTCGACAATTCGTTGAATAGCTTTTTTCTTTATGAATTTTTTCAGGGTGCAAAAAATAGGCTGATAATTTCACAGTTGCATACTTAACTGAATGACTAAGTTCCTTGATGAATATCGTGATGTTTTATTGTAGAGGAGTTGTAATCTATCGAGTCAACGAAGTAGGAAGCATGGCATTCATTCAGTGATGTCGATATTTCATGAGATAGCACACACGAGGTTGAAAATCAGATGAAGTGAGGAATGTGAAATAATGTGTCCCGGTTTAACTAGATCAATAACATCGTGTTCGACGTTTGTTATTATGCCAGTATCTTTCATGTCCGACTTCAGTTTGTCGTATGTTAATTCATTTACTAAGAGATAAATTCAACTGCTATTAATCATGCTCACCTACACATACTAACAGAACACTTTAGTCGTACTTCCATATATAGAATACATAAAATTTATATAAGTTATTTTGTTATTACTCAAAAAAAGAGCACAACACATTGATCTCATTTACTTTTCTTTGTTTATAAAGAACTGTACATTTGTAAAACTTACTTTGTTCGTTGGATTACCTATCAAAAACATATTTATTGATTAATACATCACATTGAGTATTAACGTTATACGCTTAGTGTGAAATACTCTGGATTAATTATTTTCATATAGATTTTTTGCAGAGAAATTATTTGACGTTATTGTTAGAATCACAAGTGCGGAACTCCCTACCAATTGCTTCCAACCACTAACTTTCATCATAACGTGTAATCCTTACTACATCTAGCCATAATTAGACTAGCAATCATTTCACAACTACATTGATAGAGTTCTATCAAGACTAAGGAACTAGAGCAAGCATTTTAGTCTTACAAGTGATTGATAATAGGTTAAATACCTTAGTGGTAATATCTCTGGTTATAGCACACTTGTTTAAACGGGTTCGAGTCTCATAGGAAGCACCTGTCCACTCTTTTACTGAAAATATATCTCATTTTGGTGAATTCCAACTAGCAATGAGACTAACTGGTGAGTGGCCTATGCTCCTTCACGAGGAGTACCAGGCGTAAGTAAGTAAGTAAGTAATGAGACTAAGGTTCAAAAATTTCTGCCGACTCGCCTCAGTCACAAACTTACATTATTATGACCTACTAAAGTGTATAAAGAATGATGACGGTTTAAAATACGTACATGAACAAGTATCGAAGAAAAAAAGATGTTACAAAACGAATCATCGTTATAGATATTTATCGTTTTAGAACTTACCACATGTCAAAATCGTGAAATTCGAATTATACCATTCTATGTTTACTTTGAATTCCTCATTATTTCAGTTGTCTGATTTGTTCATTTATTTCATCGAAATTTAGTCAGTATACTTACACATTAACCATGATAGATAAAAGCATTTTCAATCAGTAATTAACTGTCTTTAACATCATCGTTATCATTATTTGGGGAAAATCGATATTTATTTCTTAATTGTGTGGTCTCTTATCTTAATTTTCGGTGAAATTAGTTCCTTGTGGATCTTGAATTAGAACTGCAAGAATATTTAAAATGAGTTGGTTGCAGTTAGTTTAGAAGAAAATTTCATTGAATCGGGTTTCGTGCTAGTTGGCACTCATCAGTAGAGGCGTACCTTCTATTGTAAGGAAACTGATACTCCTTGTGGTACTCATACCCGCATCACCGGGTTTCTTAATTTGATAAGTTGCGGCCAACGTTCTGTAAAAAATGTTTTCGCCCTTGAACGATCACTGAGGTCAGCAGTCATGGCTGATCAAATTCTACCGACCATGTTGCAATATAGTCGCTAGTCTTAGCATTAAATATGTGGTCTAGTTGTTTAATTAGACAACTCACAGCTATTAGATTACAAGTTTGATTACCGCTCTATTAACTTTGATCCGATAATTCAATGAACGCCCCAGATACATCTATACGACTCATTCAACTAAACGTTTCCGGTGTTTGAAATTGAACTTGGTTGTCTATTCCAATGAATCGATGTTCAGTTCTAATTATCTATTCATTCAGTTAATGTCAAATGTCTGCGTTCGGACGAACTAAATCGATCACTTTATACTTACCTATGTCATAGTCTTCAGCATTGACAAGATCTTGACCGTATTCAGTGTATTCACTAGGCGCCTGATTGTTTGTTGGTCGCCATGTGCGGTCAGTAATAAGGTTTGCTTAGCGAACGTTTTATAAATTCACCATCAAAAACTCCGATTTCAGTTCATCAAATATTCCCATTAAAACATTAAAAAGACAAGCTGAGCTAAGAAATATTTCTTTTCAATGAGTTCTTCATGGCTATACTCCAATATACATAGCTTTTACAATTAAATATGAAATCAGTGCCAAGTAAAGTGTTGGATCGATTTAATGATATAATAATTTGTTAGTAAAACAACGTCCGGAAAATTAAGATGAATTTTCGTGATCGCTTAGTTATCATAACTAGTTACTGAAGCGTAAGTATGTAAAGTTGAGATATAAATGTTTTTTTCTTGTGTTATGTGTAAGAGTAATAATAAATTGGTAAAATGGGTTCAATGATAGTTAGATAATCATATTGTGCCCTGTGTCCTATTGATGTATGAGGCCAATTAGAGAACAGTGAATCATCGACCGGACCAATGACGCATAAAACAAGTACGAGCAGTCTAGAGTCCTTATCGATCCTGCTTCCCACCTAGCCCTGTCTGTTAAGTTTAGAACACCAATCCCAGCCTCTGCGATATTCATAATTTATTTCAAACATACTGGGTTTATATACCAACCAAACAGACTACATCGTACCGTAAAATAGAAAATAACATTTGTACAAGATTTAGCCAAAATTGGCTGTGAGTGTGGGGGGAGTAGTAATTGGTAGACCAGGTAGAACTCATGAATGGTAAATCGTATAATAATAGTCCATAAGTCAAAATGAAGCTTATGATAAGAGGAATACGAATAGAATAGTTTAGTTACTTAACAGTTATACGATAGAAATGTATGTAAATAGAGCAAGAACAAACATTGATGCAGAATAGTATGAATTCATATTATTTCGAGGTTTCTCGTCAGCTGCTTACAAACCGAAATTGTGATAGAATTTTTACATGGGGATAGTGTGAAACAATTGACATAAATGAGTGTAAATAACTTGATTACAATAATAACTATATATATATATGCTAGAAACAGGTCAGAGGTCAAAAGAGGGGTTAATCCAGGGTGGGTGGTGTAATAATTTAGTGACGCTCATAAATTGTGTGATAATTGTAGAGATTAATGGAATTAAATAATGATAAGGTAGATTACGTAATAATAATTAAATAGGGTTTGGAAAGTTAAGATGATTTAAGAGGATCAATTTCGGTTTGTAAGCAGCTGACGAGAAACCTCGAAATAATATGAATTCATACTATTCTGCATCAATGTTTGTTCTTGTTCTATTTAAATTCATAAAGGGAACCAATTGCAAGAAATGTATGTATAGTATTAGTCCAGTAATATATCCCAACAGTTACCATTCATTATCCATATCGGGATATAACACATTAATAAATAGATGAGGTAAGATTAAAATTAGAAATTAAATTATGAAAAATTAAGGTTGTAAATTTCAAGAAAAGTAATAGTAACTAAATAGAAGGCCAAGGTAAACTGAGAGGCTGTACAAGCATTTTCTATATACAGAAGTTCAGTTTATTGATGTGTATTTCTATGGCTTCTGCTATATGTAAAGGCTGAATTCTAAATACACAGGGTAAGTTCGTTATGATTCTATAGATAATTTTAAAAGATGAATTTATGTCGACGTGGTGAGCAGTATCAACTAGAAGCTCCAAAATAGAGCTTATCGTTTAGTTCTGTCCTTTGGTTAATCATGATGGCTGATGTTCAGAAATACGATTGTGTTTGCATTATTTTACGCCCAACTGGTTTCACAAGAGCAGTTAAACTTGTAAATACTCAAAGGGGGTGGGACTAGGTTATATTCTCTTCATTTCGTGAGCTCATTATTGGGATGACTAAAGAAGGGAAATCATGATCTTGCTGTATTCATTGTACGTTCTAAGGCTTCTATTATGATTATAGTGAATTATATTTGCTTTTGTTTAATGACTTTTAGGTTAGAGGTTAGGCGTTCGCACGCGATATCGGAGGTTTTAGGTTTGAATCCCGCGTGCAAGATCGTTGCTGCGCACTGCTGGGGACGGAACGACTGTCCAGTGCTTTCAGGTTTTCAGTAGTGGTCTAACATCGATCAATTCATGATCTCAATCAAAAACTTAACCGATTCAATTGAATTATTTTAGTGGTTTGTTTATTTTTAAATGAATAGCTTGTCATATTTTATTTAGAAGAGCATCTAAATTATTTGTTTTTCATTGATAATATCTTCCTTTTTTCCGAAACTTTACCATTCATACACATTATTCTGTTTATTTTTCATCTAGAGAATTACGTAACGATGTAAGGAAACGTCATCAAGGACATGTATATGAGAATCGTTTAAATATTTTGTCAAATTCAGCACCTTTAGAATATATCCCATCAAAAGGATCGAAATTATGTAGTAAAGGTAATTGGTTTTTGATGTATTTTACTCATATGTTAGTGTTAACGTGACGTACTACTCGTTAATGATTGCTGGAGAAAAACAATTCATATATGTATGGATGTTTGCACGTATCCATCTACTCGTATATAGTCTTCATAAAACGAATCATCACCTACTTGGATTGATTTACTCAACAAATGAATTCTTCCGTTAAAGAAGTAATCTTATCAGGGAATCGGAAAGTGATTTCAATCACCCTGTGAATCAACTACAGTTATACGATACAATACAAGTATTCTGGACTCGTTTGCATGATGAGTTTATGATGGGATATTGATAAAATGTTTACTGTTTCTTGGAGTGTATACTGCTGTAAAGCTCATAAAATTCTGAACACATTTGGATTTCTATTTTTTGACAGAACAATTCATATTGTGGATATTTTAGAACTGATTGGGTACAAGATATTTTCTGTAGTTCCAATTCAAAGTTCTTATATGATATATTTGTCGCAACTTGAGTATCCACGTTCAGATTAAGAACGAAATACAGTGCAATTACCTAGTCCAAATTGCCGAACCAGAACAAATGAAGGAATGACTGTACACTGATCTGTTTTATTCAGTAATTACAACAAATGTCAATTACTAGTACAGTTATTTAGGAGCAATGTTATATATACCTTTCTGAATAACACTAATAAAAATAAATTTCATTCATGCTTTTGCTGATTATTCTCACTGACCTTGAACTCAGGTTGCGGACCGTAAACACCAGATATAACACTGGCTACAATCAGAGCCATAAATGTGGTATTGAATTAAAAATGGAACATTGGCACGGTCGGATAAGATCAATAGTATCAGCACTTCAGCTCCCTTGACAATATTCATAAATAAGATACAAGAACTTGTTATAAATTTATGGGACATTTTTCCACGATCATCTCTTTGAATTAATAAATCATAACCTAAAGATATTTATTGAATATTCTGATATATCTATTATGAAGTTTTGGAATTTATCGATTATATAAGTCTGGAGTCTACGGGCGATTTACTCGCTTATACCCAGTGAATTACCAAAGCCTCACTTTGATTTTCGATTGAACGTTCAGTATTAAGTAATATTTCGAATAAGTTGACAAACAGTTCTGTAATGAAATGATTTATTGGTATACATTAACTAATCAACATGGAAATCTTTGAAAATATGCATATTGCTATGATAAATCACTAACATACCTAGCCTTCTGAACGTGTGTTTCTTCATTAGCTAAGGTTTGTTCAAGAAACGAAAATCTAACAGGAGTGAAACAGCTGTTTCATCCTAGCTTGTAACTCAGTCGCTCGAACGATAACTTCACACAAGTTTAAAATTCAAGTTTCGCGGAGATCACCATACTTTTAAATCACTGTACTGGGATTCAGTTCTGAAACCAACTGAAGGGGAATTTGATAAGATGTAATATTTAAATATAAACTTGACTGATAAGATTCGAGAATATAGACGAATATGGAACTCGTTACTTCTAACTAGTAATCTAATGTAAATATCTCAGTCCTATGATAGGTCACTCGCTGCCCAAATGGCACAGTGGTAAAATAGAATGTGGAATTTAGTGACTGAGTTTGGAATCCTAAAGAGAGCATCTATTGTATCAAGATTTCAGGTAAACCTTGTTAATCTATGTCAACTAACACGAAACCTAGATTCAGGGTTTCCAGTAGACTACCTTCAACCACCTAACATCAAGCTTAAAAGTAATCTGGCCATGGAAGTGTGCTCATCTGTGTTAATAATAAAGATAATCATCTTTGTTCATTTTAGTAAAATTGCTCATATGATATATGGTAAATTAGCAACTCAACCATCAAATATTTTTGCTATTTCATTCTATTTACTGTGCATTTAATGTGTACTCATCGTTAAATCAATAAATGTAACCTTGAAAACAAATAATACATAATTCTAACTGTTCTCTTTATTTTAACTACACGAAGTTTGACACATGGATGTTGAATAACTGACTTCGAGATTAATAATACGTATTGATTTCTAAAGGTATTTTACCACGGAAGAAAGCAAAATAATTTCTCTTATTTTAAAAAATTACATCAGAGTATTAACGTAATAGTGGTTTAGTAGTAGTAGGTGAAGCATTTGGATTTCAACTAGTAGGTTGCGGTTTTGAACCTCCATCCTACGTACTTCATTTTATATAGCTGCTTAGTGTTCTAGTTTTCATATAAACTATGTAGTTCAAAGCTATTTATGAAAATTTGTCCTTGATAAATGAGTTACATCAGTGGACTATATCTCGAAATATTATATGCATTATATATTTGCGTCAAATACACAGTTTTTAAAAGATCATAATTTGATTGTGTAAACATTCACCACCAGATAGTATTTAAGTGACTTTTTTGAACACGAAGAATATCGATATCTAAATTTATTTTGACTAATTACTATTGTTATATTTAAAAACTTCGACCCATGTAAGTGTAGGCACCAAGCAGCAATTCATTTAGGAATTTCTCATCACAAACTGAAGTTGGTTAGGCAATCATTTAAGCTGGTAAACTCCGGGGCCTAAAAGGCCCAGATTTGGTCCCTATTGGAGTAGTAGGTATGCACATCAAAAGAGTTTCATACTAGCACGAGACATCCAGTGTTCCTCAGTTCCCAGAAGGTACCATATAATAGATTATATGTCTATTTGAATAGCCACTGCTTGAACCTAGAACAGGAAAACAGACATAAAAATTACAATAAGCTTTACTTCTAAGGTTAGTCTATGTATAGAAAGCAAGCGTATTTATAACACAATATGTGACTTTGGGTTTGTAGAAGCTTCTGAGAAGCGTGCTAAACCTGGTAACAAATTGTTATTTATTCAGTCAGATATTGGTAACAAAATCCATCGATTTTAAAATCTTTATGGAAGTTTTCACAAAACTGATCAATGTAGGTACTTTCCGTCTTTTTCCGGGTATCTGTAGACATTTTAAAAGTATTATCTAGGTTTTCTAACAGTCCTTATCATGTTATGTTATATAGGCTCGGAAGTAACATTAATATCACTTAGCATATAAGGTGATCTAATCAAACGTGTGGATCACCTAATATTAAGTGTGACAACATTTCAGTTAACCTACTATTCTCCATTTCCTTGGACAGAATAACTATATATCATAATTGTATGTACTCATGAGATATTCTAATAGGCTTAAAAGTTATTATTATTATTACTATGGATATTGGAAAACTCAAATGTAAGCACAACAAGACACGAGTACACTGGGATTCATACAACTTATGTATGATCTCTATTGAAAAAGTTATTGTATCTACTGAACTGGTAGAAAACATTCTGAATTGAAGTTGGATGGTAGTTGATCACTATTGGAAACATGCGTAAAATATGTTATTGATGAATTTCAACTTTGAATGCCTTTTAGACGGAAAATCGTTGCGTTTTTTCACAACTGATGCTGGGGATTTTAACTTTGACAAAGTTTATGGTACAAGTGGTTTATGGAGATGGTAGTGTTTTAACAATTGAAATCACAAACTGGTCCCAGCCAGACCACTATTTAAAACTCAGAAGCACTGGATGGCCGTTTTTTTAGCACGGTACTCCTCGACAGTGCGCATCCTTAATCCGCAAACGGGCATCGAACACATGACCGGTCTTGCGCGCGAATGCTTAACCTCTAGACCACTGAGCAGGAATCCATTGGTGTCAATGTCTATTTGTTCTTCTTATTAATATTAAATCATATGCTTTGTTTTTCTTTAATGAACACAGACAATCAATCATTCACTGTACTCTTGTCACCTGATCGCAAGTCGCTTCTTATAAGAGACACAAACCAGAACATAAGAGAAATATGTAAGTTACTATCGTCAGTTTATTTAGACACTGCAGTTAATATTTTACACTGTTTTCTTCAGTTCTAATATGATTGTAATTGTAATGAAAATCCAAAATAGATCGATCAGCCTAGTCAGATGATCTTTAGTTTAAAATTGATGAGAATTTGTGTTCCTAAATTGTATACCTGTATTAGAACAAATACACCAGTAAAACAGCTATGTTTGAGATATCATGTTATCACCTTGGTATCAGTGAACGGAACATAAACCAATAACTCAATAAAAGGACTATTCTAAGCTGTTCCTCCGTTCCTCTACTTATCTAACTAGAGGAAGAAGACCAGAGTCAGCAGGGAAAATATATAAGCAAATACTATGACGAAAAGCTGTTTAGGAGTCAACGATAATACAGATATTAAGAAACAATTTCATTTTTAACATTTCTTTATGTACATCTTCAAAAGGAATAGATTTATTTGGATATTAAGTCGTATTATGTCGCTTATGGTGAATGCTATCACGTTCAGAATATGTTGGATTCTCAAGAAATAGTTACACTACTTAAAAGCTAGTTAGTAGGGTTGTGAGCAACTAAGCATGCGGAAAAATATATTTGTAAAATCTCAGCGAATGAATTTTAAGTAAATCCAACGTTTCGCCTGGCAATCTGGTCCTAGCTTTTTCAAGGAAAATATAATCAAACAACAAACTTATCGATTATATTGATTATATTTTCCTTGAAAAAGCTTGGACCAGATTGCCAGGCGAAACGTTGGATTTACTTAAAATTCATTCGCTGAGATTTTACAAATATATTCTTCTTTTTAATGTCTCAAATTAACTCGGCGCCCAAATATTGTGAAACTATTCGTTCGAATTTAGACGAAAGTTCTTATTTATAAGCATGCGGAATTTTCTGCGTAAAATGTATATTTTTTACTAAACCTCAATATCGAACAATCTCTCTGATCGATATTCTTAGTATGTGAAACATATAATGTGAACTAATTCGTGTATATATATTCCACCATGTAATTAATAATAATTTAATTAGAAGTTCAACCGTAATCATACTATTTATTTCTTTTTTTATCCAAAGGGCAACTAAACTGTATTAGTCGAGTATCTTTGGGTATAACTGAGAAAGTGAAAAAAAATCCGGAACGTGTAAGTATTAATCTGACAAACTAGTAGTATATTTTTTACCAAGTGGAATTTGATCTGTTTATCAATAAAGTTACGAAGTGATTTTTTTTCCAGAGAGATGTAACGACAACCTTGAATAGAGATAAATGACTTTGAGGGACTTTAACACGTTATTAAAATATCAACATATTTAGTGGGTTATCGTTATTCTATTTACAATTCACTTGAATTTCATCAATAAGTAATTGCCATAGATAGGAACACATATATTACATTGACGAATCTCAACAGGATGAATTATAATTGTATCGATCTATAATATTCATGATTTCTTGTACTGTTCTCTTCTACATTAATTCACTACTAGTCATGATTAAATATCTTGAATCTTAGTGATATTTTACAAGTTGACCTTAATGATTAAATTTACAATAAAAACTTGTGCTACTGAATTATAAAAAGTAGTATTATTCCGAGTGTTCATTTGTGTTCGTCTTTTTTTTTATTAAAAAAATCCGAATTAGACATTACTCTTTCAAGTGGAATTATCCGATATTCCAAATCAAGATGATCCCAATGAATCGACAAGTAATAAATCACGTTGTTTTCGAGTTATTTTATTAGCCAGATCAATAATTGAATATAATTATTGGTTAGATGGATTATTTTTATTAAATAAATTAAATGTAAGTTAATGTTTTTGAAATCTGATTAGATAGAATCTAATTCTGTTTTGATGTAATTAACAATAATAAATCTTTGAATAACCAATAATTATTGATACCCAATAAAATATATTCGTTTGGTATTTGTAACAAAGGATACAGGGGTTTCGAGTGGTGGCTTCGACATTAACACAGATGAAGACATATGCAGCTGAAGAATTCTAAAGAGGGCAAAACTTGCTTGATAGATCCCACTGCTAGCCAAAATCCAACTATTCTATAATGGATTTATAGTTTGTATCACAAACTATCCATATACAATCACTGGAAACCAGGAATGGTCGTCTAAATATGGTCAGTTTGTGATATAAACTACAAAGTTGGTTCATCTTTACAAGCTTTTTAAATTGTTAGTGATGCACTTATTCTGTAAGCATCTACTCTTTTTCTTTCATAAATAGAAATTATAGTACCAAAAAATCGGTATTAAAATCCTATCAGGTTAATTTCTACATCATCGTTTTGTTATATTATTCAGTTATCATAATATATTTTGAATGGTCATTTTGACTGTTACGTAGTCATGTTTGTGTGGTATTTTATTACAATCAGTTATGAAAGAGTTCTGTATGGAGATGTTTTATGGTGGCCTAAGTTGTACAGTTTGAAGTTAATGCATTTATCTCAGCAGTTATGCTAACTTATTAAATGTCAAAATATATTGTTAATCGTTAAACAGTTTCGTGTAACGTTAAGTTCGAATTCCTTAGTGTTAGTGGGTGGATTTTCTATAAAAATGGTTGCTATACAATGAGGTCGAGTTGAAATTATTTAACCCCTGTTGTATGATTTTAGTTATATTAGTGAATCATTTCGATTCTGAAAACCAATTATTAATGGTAGATTCTACTCTCAATTAAAGAAGATTAATATTTAAGTTCCTTTTGGTAGGAGGCTTCAATATTTCCTCGAGAAAAGTTTTCAAAAGGCAGGAAAATGTTTAAAATATTTCCATCAATCTGCATACTTTAAAAACTTTCATGAGAATTTCAGGATGTGTTCCAGAGACTTCTGAAATCTCTTAATCATATACAGTCTTATAAATATCCTTATTTTCTGTATATAAATTAACCTTCAATGTAAAAGCATTTATTTTTCTGTACAGTGTTGAAGAGTAACAGATCGCTAGAGATTAGGAAGTGGATATATAATCGTTCAACTGGATTGCTTATCATCTTTCACTAATGGGTTACAAACAATATGAAATGAGATTTTTTATTCCACTTACTTCTAACATTACGCTAATATCACATTGATTATGCATATATATATCATATGCATTCTTTACACATATCAAGAGGGACAGAAAGAAACAAAACAAATGTTACTTTTTGCTTTTTTTCTGAAAATAAAAGTCTCGTTGTTTTCTTTAACCGATTTCTATTTTATTCTATAGAATCCAAGTGATTATTACAATGAAGATGTGGAGCGTTTAACTGAACTAGACATGTGTATACGTCTTTCAAGTTTAGATTTAAATCAGTTGCCAAAAAGAGAAATCCCCATGCCTACAGATCCACCACCACCTTTGGATTTTATTTAATTTCATTATCCTCTTCTTTTTCTTCTTTCAATATTGTTTGTGTAATTATCCACCTTGATTTTAAATAATTTTGGATTGATAGATTATATTGTTCATTTATTTCATTGTTTGAACATTTAATGAATGAAGGTACATGTAAATTGATTATTTACCACCCAATCATTAATAACTGTGTACGAAATTTATCTCACTTTATTTTCAGCTTATTTTAAGTAGAAACAAATTGAATTATCTCATTATAATTTCTATTATAATTTCTTAATTATGTATAGTGGAAGCTTAATTATTCAAGTTTTAATTCATATTGTTTGTTTAAGTTTTCTAGAGACCTGAAAAGAATCTTTCTGTCTATTCTCTTTATTATAATTATTTCAGGTTATTACTAACAGTATTTTAATCGATATTATTTCTGATATTCATATACGTTTTGCTTACGAATCATCAGTAATCTTGAAGTAGATTACTGAAATCTTGTAATTTTGAATAATATGATCATCATCATCATCAACGTCACCCTGTTTGTACTCTGCATAATATCATGACTAATCGCCCTTTTTCTGTTAGATCTTTAGATCATTATCATCAATTGGTATTTACCTTCTATCTATATATAACATCTTGGATTGATTCTTATGAATAAGTGATAATTAATAAGCAAGATGCAAAAACAATCGTTCTGCTATTATTTTCCCCTTATTTTTTCTGTTTGTACATACAAAACGAAATGTACAGACAGTGAAATAAACTTAGCCACAATTGATTGTTTTACTCCAAAAACAATAACTATTCTTTGTGTAAAATCAAATATTGTTATTTTTTCTCCATTAAAATAAGCCGACTGCTTATATTAACTCTGTAATAAATTATCTCGAGTGGTAAATTGAATGAGTTAACTTAAGAACTTTTTATATTGGTAGCACACTCGGTTGGCTACACAACATAATGCTAGAGTTACTAGTACTCTAACGAATTTTGGATATATATATATATAGCTGACTGGGATTAAATAAACATCAGTTTATTCAGGGGAAATTGACCCTACACTCAATGTTTTAAATGAATCATGCAATAATAACTTGTATCGATTGTAATTTTCAAGTAGTACGTCGGGAAATGGACAGAATATCTCGAGATAATATAGATGTCGTTTCCTTTTGTTCTACCGCTTGTTATGAAGATTGCAGGATATGTATGCTTTAGTTACACGTTGACCGCCAAAAATATTGATGAATGTAGTCCATTTGCTCATATGAAGCTAGACATATTAGTCAGACGTTTGAAATCTAACAATATTAAGATTTTACAATCAGGAAATTCGGTAGACTTCAAGCATAAGTTCTGCATAATGTGCCTTCAGTTGGGAGATAACTTTTACAAGATAATTAGTAGTGGATAGTGCTTATCTATTTGAAAATTAGACACCGAATGATGATCGAGATCATGGGCTGTAATCCATCATAAGTACTGAGGTAGGTCTACAACGTTCCCGGGAGAGTTACATGACTACTCAAAATGATTATCCTCACGAATAATTATTTATATCACCTGACCGTCAACTGTATTTTACAAGCCCCGTAATGGCAAACTCAAAATGTACATCATCCAGTATTAATCCATTTGACTTTTAAACGCCAAAAATAAACATAATTCATAACTATCAAGAACCAACAAAAAATTTAGTATGGTAAGTCCTTCACCGACCCGTCAGTTTACAGGCTCTAAAATGCTATTTAGTGGTATTAATAAATCATTACCTATCATGGTATCTAACATTTATAAGTCATTTTTGGGCCGAAACCAGGAAGCACTCTCTTAGATGGTAACTACTATTGCCGTTTCGGAATTTGTCAGCACATGTTACCTGTGACGTATCAGCGCTTTATTCGGATTTCATAGATCCGACGCGAGTTTGAGTTACATGATTTAATCTTAACAGTCATAATACGGAAAATATCGTTTGTTGTTGTGTTTTAATATTAAGCTACATAGCTTCTGTTTCCAATCAATTGGGTGAGTAATGAAGAAGTCATGGTTAGTTCAACACATCAATATAGTGCTATTCTTGATAACACAGACAAATTCCTGTTATCTATGCTCACGACTGTACAGAATCTCCGTTTGAGTAACAAGTTTAGTACCATAAACCACGGCAACAAAATCCAACTCAAGGCCTCCGCATGACGTTACCGGGTAGTGAGCGCAACCTGGCTAGCTAATTTGGGTGGTTGACAAGATTGAACTAATCCACCATTCTGCTGTAAACCGGATCGACTGGATCTTGCGGGCTACCCGATGTATATGCTTATGTATATGAATTGTATGAGTCTCGGTTTGTGTCGTTTATGTTTGTAGGTATATGAAAAGGGTAGTTGCGTGGATTAGCACAAGGAATGTAGTGTCTGCCTCATGTCTAATTAAGTCAGCGGCCTAATGCTTCATGTTGAAGACAATAAAAAATATGGTAGCAAATACTACGGCGAGGTGACTATCAACCATCCCTGAGAGAGTGCTTACGCTTATGTCATGAAGTACAGGGCGACAGTCTTTGTACCAGCAATATGTATGTATTGTGTAAGTGACAGTCAGTTGCAGCATATACTTTCGAAGGGAGTGGTGATCATTTACTCTTACAAGTGAGTGGATATTTCTATATTTATGCTAAGGGGTGAATGGGTGAAAACATATGTGCTACCGGTTTGCATGTAGATTATACTTTCCCCTGGTGCGACACCTGCGCCCCAAGACCTGGTGGGAACAATTTCCCTATGAAATCACATCCACGCGGTTAGTTTGTGAACCTTGCGAAACGGAAACCATTTCCAAAAAAGCCAATTCGATTTACCGTATAAGGCTAGACCAAACTTAACAAAACTGGAAAACCGTACCGTACCATAATACGTAAGTAAAAGCACAGAGATAAGTGCTGTGGTAAGGTAAGTATAAAATCCTGGCAACTAATTAAATACTTACTAAACTCATGCAGCATAAAAATAAATAGAAATGTATATTAATACAAGAGGAACGTTAAATATTTCGTTAAAATGTAAAACGAATTTAAATCAAATGGTAAATTCTAACATTTTAAAGATCACGGTTGTGATCAATGTTTAGAAAATTAGAGATATAATATGGCTTTTTTATAAATAAGAAAGTGATATCAACACCAGTGTTATAACTTATGATTTATTAATGTCTCCCAAACAAAATCTATACAGATTCCATGTTAGATAGAATTTCAAATGGATAGGCTTTACGTGAGTGAAGCATATCTGAACTGACCCTAAAAGGCCACGATGTGGTTAAAAAATCTTTGTTATCAGTTGTATCCATTGCTAACAGAGACAGTCACTTGGTATCAACTGTTTTGTGTGCAGACAATGTACAGTGACAACTAGAGTTCTCGTAATCCAACAAAAAACAGGAGGATTGATTCGGAAAAGACTACTTCTGTGACTTCATTGCAATGGAAATGACAGGCAATAGGTCGGAACAGCTCTTCTTCAGAATATAGTCCGATAATGGCTTACTTAAAATAACTATTCCAAAAGACCGTGCAGCAATAATGACGAGTTACGAAGTGATATCGTGCAATAAAATAATGTTGCAGATATATCAACTGATTACGTATGATCAAGAAAAAGTGAGAATTAAGCAGGTTACCATTGTTATTTGAGAATGAAAAATAACTGGTAGTTCGTTGTAAAAGGATTTAACTAGGTATTTAGTACAGTTGCGAGTTATAGAACTAATTAATTGTAGTGAGTTTAATTGTGTACAAGAAAAACTAGTGTATATTTGTCCTAAAATGAATTATTTGATTCAAGTACAAACCGATACAACCATACATATAAAGAGACCAAGCTACATTATAGGTTATGTTTTAATGCTTCTTTGGAATGTAAGTGATTTAGCGAATTGTGGAATGTCGAACAGCATTGAAAGTTGCGCTGACGCACGAAGCACAAGTTATTACAAGCGCCACAGCAAATCCCAACTAACGTATCTACCGATTTGTCATATGCAGTGTCACCTTGACTTGCAGCTGTACTTCAAATGAAACAGATAATTGAACGTGTACGCCATAACTTATGCACCCTTATCAAATCAAGATTAATTGGATGTATTAAATCTACTGTGTGAATGTGAGACGATTGCGATAGGAAAGGATTTCTTTCTACATGATAATGAACTGTATGGAAAATATTTATAGATTTTTTTCTAACACCTAGAATCTTTAATTACTAAACAGTTGTCTTCATTAGTTTCTTGATGGTATATCCAAATCCTGACTACTTTTCTTTACACAGATCTACACATTTCATTCTACTAAATTCAGTTAGATTATTCGTAATGCATTATATCACTCACAAACTTCTCAACCCAATATTTTCAGTATTTTTGTCAACAGCTTATATAGACGATTGTTTCAAAAATAAATAATCAATTTACTAAATTGATAATATGTAAAAAGGCGGTATGGAAAAAAATAAGGGGAAACGGAGATGATATTAAGAGAGAAAAGAAGTGGTTACTGATATTCAGTGATGACAAATCTTCTAATTTATGAGACATGTATCAGACACGGCTGGTCCAATACAGAGACGGTAATCCGTGGGTGAGTACGTGTTTATCAAGTCTCCTCTCAGAGTTACTCACTATTTGGGTGGCTCGACGTGCTTAGTATGTTGCATGCCATTAACAGATCACCTCTTATTCTTATGTAGCCCAACGAGAATATATCCAGGTGTTGTGGTAAGTCCTTGTAAGATCTATGTTTTAGACCTATCAGCCACTTGGTCGTCCGTTTCTGTACTTAGTCCGGGAGACCAACCGGTATTCTTGCTTTTCAAGCCTCAGATGAATAAGCGAAGACCGTTTATTTACACTATCAAGAGCACTCTCCTACTACCCAGATGATGATTTCAAAGAAAAAACGATCATGAATCTTATCCGGCAATGTTTGAGGTGATGATAAATATGAAACACTTCTAATGATGGTGTCCGAAGGAGTAACAAGCGTAAATAAGTAACCATTTGGTGGTGGTTGTGGTAGTCTTCCAAGTTTAGGTTTTCTACAGTAGAACCGTCTTTATTTTCGTGTTGAATATTATGACATTGATGTCGGCTGACAGTTGATTAAAGTTCCGGATGTCCTTGAGCTGTAAACGTCTATCCCTGATTTACCAACCCTTTTTATTACGTCGACACCAAGTCCCCCTTGTTTATCAATGATTCTTGGTGCTTAGACTAGTATGTTCCTGGTCCCTTTGCTCTCCCTCTCTTAATCTTTAAGATGATCATATTAACTTATTTTATTATTGGTGAAGTAACATCTATGGAAGATCTGTGTGTACTACCTCGATGCCACGTGGATTCAGTAGGATTGGTCTATCGATGGGTTTGTAGCGACCTACTTTTATCAAGCGAACGCGATTGGTTTAATGGAAACAATTATCATTATAACCAATTGTACCAGTGATTGTTTTACTGTACTTGTTTGTTTAGCTGTACTAAAGACATTCTTCTTTCCTCCGTTGATTGTGACTTTGCGCGAATTCGGTTACGCCCAGTAACCACACTTTTAACCTGGCACGATCTCAGTATTCTTTTGATACCACGAGATCTCCAACAAATACATCCCGACTACAGCCACCAACTGCCTTTCGATAGTTGGCTTACGGGGGATATTATCAGTTAACTGGCACATAGTCTTCCTGTAGTGGTGATCATAGTCAACTGCGACTCGACACCACACTACAGGTTCTTCAAAACGCTCTACACACCTGTTTTTTGAATTTCAGTGACTAGTTTGTCTTCTTTATTCTTTAATGTCCCATCTGTTTTACTATTATGGCTTCTCCTTCGTTTCAATATAGTGAACTTGAATATTTTTGTCATGCAGCGTTCTTACTGTCATTGCTAGGTATTTTACATATTTCTGCTTATCAGCTCTAATGATCCCTTTGTTTTCTTTCGTTCGGCTCTTTTTGACTTTTGTCTTCTTGTTCTTTATTTCTTTAATCCTCCTCAGGAAATCAGCAGATATCCATTTTTATGATGGTGCCTCATGTGGTACAGAATCTGCTGGCAAGTTGAAGTTAATGGTTCTTTGATCTCTTTCCAACTGTCCTCCATAGTAGTTTCATCTTCTTTCAGTAGATTCTGTAAGGCTTGGAACCTGCTGCTGTTTCAGTGTTTCTCGGTATCTAAAAAACGTTTGTACCAAACTTTTGTAACGCCGATTCTTTAGTTGCCCAGTGTTTGTCACCTCTACCCTTGGTTTTCACGTCTTCTACTGACTGATATTAATTTGATCGATTTGGCTTCCAGTGATGTAATCCAGCGAAACCTATGTAACTATGTGTGTGTGTAGGTGGAATGTGTTGACACATGTAACCGTTTTGCTCAAGGCACATAAATTCATAACACCCTCAATATTCTCATCCCTTTCTCTATGTCCATGTTGTCCCATGATATCCGTAACGGAAAGAAAACGCAGAAAATCCATCCAATTCACTTCCTTGGACAGTATTGTCACTTAATTTTTGTTTTGTATTTCAGCATTTACCAGCGTCTCTTTTTAACCACACATTATGTTATTCATTCTTCCTTGCCGAGAATTTGTTAAGTGATCTTCTTTACAGATTCGCCTTTTATTAGTCGATTTACTGTTGAATATTGCCAGACCATTGACAGTAAGGTCGTGTTTGACCAAACGAAATGTCACGGCGTGGTTCAGTGCACGACAGTTTACCTCTGATTGTTGCTGGGATCCCTGCAGATAGATATCTGATCCCATTTTGTTGTGAATAATTTTATTGATACTAAGGTATCGAATTCTTGTTTAATAATTATTTCTTTTGTTTAGAACGTTAGTTTGTGCTGGAGAAGCACTTGACAGCATAGCACAAGCTGCACCGTATGAAGTATTTTGTACCTTTGATATAATTTAGCCTCTTAAATTGAAACTGTTTAAATTTAACGCAGCTTGCCTTTTTGTATGGTTTAATCCGATTTACTGGAAAGAACTTCATATACTGTGCGGAAGAACATGGTTTGGCCTTATGGAATAACCTTTGGTTCGTTAGTTCTGCGTTCAAACCGAATATTGGTATTTCTGTCGTTACAACGTCTTTTTATCTGGTGTTATCCATTCTGACGTTCGCGTTTAGGTCTCGCGATAGGGTCGTCAGCTCATTTATTGAGCAATTCTCTACTATCGACTGCAGCCTCTCATGAAATTGATCATTATCGTCTTCATTGCTATTATTGGTGGGTGCATAGTTCTGGATAACATTCATCGTAATTCCCTCACTCTTTGTTTTGAAGAATGCTTCTATCACTCTAGATCTATGAGGTTTTCATCTCATAAAAGTGTTTCGGTTTTCTTCGGACAACATTATTTCAAATTCTTGTGCATGTAATGTATCTTGACGTCCAGAGTACAACAGCATTTCTCCCGAAGATAATATTCTGTCTGAAGTGCGTTCAGTGAATCAGTACCAAACTAAAGCCTTGCATCTACGAAATTCACAGGTTATTCTCTAAAATCTCCAAAAGAGGTGATAGGAAAGGCTCAACCTGCTACACACCAGTCACATTATTCGCAATAATGTCGAGGTTAATGAAAAGATCAGCCAATGGCCAAGGTAGTGAATGCGCAGACAATAACAGCGTTCCTTAAGAAGGCCGCGATGGGTTTAGACAAGCCAGGACCTGTGTGTCTGATTTTCACTTAACATGGGACGAGCAGACAACCTTCTGGGACCAAACGATATCGGTCTGTAACACCCCTTGACTTCTCGACAGCGTTTGGCACAATGCCGGACGGATTCCTTATAACAAGGCACACGAAGAAGTGTTTCGCTGATTCACTTCTACTTTGACCTCAACACCACCTGCAGAACCGAACTTTCCTCACACTTTAGTATCAGGAGTCTCGCGAGGAACTATTTTGGGTCATTTAATCTCCTTGATTTTCATCAGTGATCAACTAGGCGAAATTAACCCACCGAATCTCGTGTATCCTGGAAATGCCAAGATATGGAGTTACATAAGAAACTGAAAAGATCCACTTGAGCTTTTAAGTGACCTCACAACAACGGGAAGATAAGCAGAGGACAACGGATTACCACTTAACCTATCAAAATGCGAAGTCGCGAATGTTCATTCCTGTGGGACAGGAACAACTTACACCCTCTATGAAAATCCACTGGCATTCTTCTCCTCAGAGTGCAGTCTAGGACGATTAATCATAGAGAGCACAGAAATCATCTGAAAGTGTTGTCTTTCAGCTGCAACAAATCCTACTCTTCACTTTATTAAAGATAGGTGGACAGAATCACTCCAGAATTGTTTCTGACGCTGTTTAAAACATAGTCAGGGCCTCATCTCGAAGTATATAAAGTCGTTTAGCCTCCTTTTCAAAAAAGAAATATTTCAGACCATATGCGGAGACGAGTAAGTATGTTGTTGATGGAGCTTAGAAATAAATCTGTCTAAGAGAATTAGGGGTGATCTGATTACTACAAAATACGGTTGGTAAGCTAAAATACGTTATCAAGGACACATCTACGCTCGGCGAGTCAACCCTATGAAATCGCACATCAAAGAGCGAAAACATAAATAAGCCTCTACATTTTTTCATCAAGATTAGTCACTATTTCTGGGAAAGTCGTCTCATATTGAAATTGAACTTTTCCCTTGATTATTTTCACATTTCAATCAACTAAACTTCTGCCTGGTAGTGTGAATGCTAAGGTCACATAAACTTTGATGCCATGAAACAAACTGACTCATTCAGATCAGATTACACAAAAACTCAATACAGAGATGGCCTGACCTGGTAAAGCCGAGTGGCTAGACTACTACCCACTAAACATTTTTAGAGACCTGAGACAGCAGCGAAACAGCACGAATAGAACTCAAAGAAATTAGTCGGTTTAAACAAGCTTGCAACAAAAATATATGTGTTAGAAGAGAGAGAAACAGGAATAAGACTCTTACTATAAGAAAGTTATATATATTCCATCACAACAAGTAAAGCGATCTCCATTTTAGTACATGAACTTAAGGACGTACTTCTGATCTCGCGGGTTTATTGTTTTATTCCTTTCGGGAAAGAGGCGCAATTTGATCCTCGTGAACATGGCGGAGTATTTAGCGTCGATATTTGGTACGGAAAAGGATAAGTAGGAACCCGTTTTCAAATTATTTGTTGATGCAGAGTAAATTGTTCGTTCTACTTCAAAATCGGTGCATGCCGCCATGGAGAGCAATGTTCAAGACTCCATAACAAACCGTCTTTCGGTCAGGTACAATTGGTTTTCAACTTTTTTATGCATAGACTATTTTGCTACAAAACCTGTATATAGCTCCTCAAAATACAGCGCAGAGTGCTGATGGGTCTCACAGTAAGCTATATAGTATTTTTTGGTTATATATTTTAAAAAGATCTGGTTGTATTTAGGCACGACTAGTGTGATATTTAGGTATGTCTTCCAGTAAATATTTTTCTGCACTAGCATTTAGACGTAGAATAAACAGATGGGTATTAGATCAGAAAGATGAGCAGGAATGACAATTTTTAGGTACACTTTTGGACCGCTTAATCAACTTTAACGTCAGTGCGGATGACCGATAAGACCAAGTAGGCCAGTGCTGATCATTTATCAGGAATGTCTGTAAGTACACTTGTGTTTCACTAAAAATCTGTTTGTTGATTAGGTGTCTAATCAGTAACCATACGTGTCAAGTCCCTTGTAGATAACTTATTTTTACCGTGTCTAGTGTAGCAGTAAAGTACAATCTCTAAAGGGGTTTATTTGCAGTCTGAAGTACTCTTGCTTTTATGGTAAGTGGATATTCTCCCTCGTTGGTAAAACAAGACTATGCTGACATCGTGTTATGTTGGTATACAAAACTGGCTTACTAGAGTTCTTGTTAGCATTTGAGGGCTGTTGCAATAATGTCTACAAATCATTCGCAGAACAAGTTGTCTCAATGTCTATAGAAGTACGGTCCACAAATTATGCACGTGGTCTTAACCAAGAAAACATCCTACAATGAAATACATCACTCCTTAAACGTATTGGTGAGTGACATGAGTTCTTGGCGTGTTACTCTTCGTTTGCTGTAAGCTGATTTATTTTACCATATGTAAACAACAGCGATATGATCTATGTTATCCAGTTCCCAAAACTATTTACATTAGTATAAACAGGAATTTGGTTGTCATCCCTTTAATATACGTGTAATGACCGATCACCTTCCATACTCCATCTTACACCTTGTGCCAATAGTCACCACAGTAACAGTACGCTTAGTCATCCAGCGTGTAAATATAGCAACCGTTTAAATTGTTAATTCGGATAACTTTGATAAATCTGCGCAGGTTTATTGGTAGTAGTAAGAATAGTTGACTTTTGTACTTAGTGGCATCTGGGATTTGACAGTTTCACATCTAAAGTTTACAGTGGTTCTACATCCCTCCATCTATAAGTATATTTTTCTGAACTAGTTGAAAAGGCTGCTTCCTAATTAACAGTAGTGCAAATGAAAACAACTGAATTAAACCAGAACTTCAGAAGATTTGCTCAAGTACGTTTGCAACAACTACAGTAAATGCAATAGAGAATGTTTTGGGTAAGATTTAGTTCCTAGCGAAATCTTCGGGATGAACGCAACAATCGTAAGAGCGGCACAGGTGTTTCAGTTGTCAGTATTTAGTGCTGAATAAGCGCCCATATCCAATAATTAAGCATGGACCACTCTAACAGGATTTTTACACCTAGATAAAATATAAACTATGCAATTAATTCATATCAATCGTTTATGGTATTTTGACAGCTGGTATCCAGGCATCTCCCTAGTAACGGTAGATTTTGATCAGGTTGTTTACAAATTACTGGATGTGTATGTATATAAGTTGGGTCTTTTAAAGACAATTTGTTTTTAAGTTCTCTGTCCAACTGGTTGGCTGAAATCCAGTGATCGTTAGGTGCGTTGACTACCAGGACCAAAACAATGCACTCGGCTATAAGCAACCATAGAGCTTTGTAGATGTCTTGACAATGGTCGTTTTAGCCATGCCAGTCACTGGTTTTATTTACTGATTTAAGTTCCACAAGTTGGATAACAATTCTTCCTGAATTATTGGTGAAAACATTTTTTTATTTCTTAAAAGTCAACCTTACGGAAGTCCAAGCCCAGCAAATCTTCGACGAATTTTTCGAGGAGGTCTTTGTTGAATGTGAGGAGAAGGTAAATTTTTGTGTGATAAGTTCTTCTCTTTTAGTATGGGGAAATAGAGGAAATGAATGTGTGTGATAATCTTGGTGATCATCTAGTTGGAAACGTTTATATAAAAGTAAGCTCCTTGTAATACTTCTTACATGTTTATAGTTCAGGCGTGAAGAAGATGCTGAAAAAGCTGTTCAGGATTTAAATGAACGCTGGTTTGGTGGAAGACCAGTTCATGCTGAGCTTTCTCCTGTCACAGATTTTCGTGAAGCATGTTGTCGTCAGTATGAACTGGGGTAAGTTTTTATGTAATTTTGTCAATATGCTATACAGTACTGTTAATTGTCATTTAATCTTCAGTCTTACATGGATGTCAATTTGATGTGATTTCAGGGTGTTACACATTTGTCATGAGTTCTTGTGGCAACTTGAACTGATGTTTATATGTACCATATTTACGTTGCGTATGATTGATATGAGTTCTCGTCAGTAATGAAAGGAAGGGCAGCTCGTCCAGATGAATTGGCTCCAGAGGTCTTTAAGGATGGTGGTCCAATTTCAGCGATTAGGTTGACTAACATTTTAGTTAAAATTTGGGAGTTGGACGTTATCCCGTTTGACTGGTCACAGTCACTTATCGTCCCAATATACAAGAGAGGGTCAAAATCATCCTGTGAAAACCATAGAGGGATTGGTTTAACTAATATAGTATCTGAAATACTAGCCTCGATAATTATCGGACGCCTAACTAAGACTCGTGAACTGCAAACACGAGAGAATCGAACTGGCTTCAGACCTGGTCGTGGCTGCATCGACCACATATTCACCATTCGTCAGGTTCTAGAACACAGGCATACTTATCGGCGTCCGACAATAGTGGTCTTTCTTGACTTAAAAGCAGCATTTGACTCCGTAGACCGCGGCAGTGTCTGTCATTAAAAGGCGTACCTCAGAAGTACATAAACCTTGTGAAAGCTCTGCTAGAACACCACTAGTCGAGTCAGAGCTTATGGCGAACTGTCATCTGCTTTTGCAACCTCAAGTGGTGTCCGTCAAGGCTGTCCACTTTCTCCATTTCTGTTTAACTTCATCATAGACCTACTGATGGAAATAATATTCTCGTCGACTGAATTCTCAGGTATTAATCTCCTACCAGGAAGTCCACTTATCGACTTAGTATACGCAGATGACAGTCCTGTTTGGTGAAGATACTGATAAAATGCAGAGTCTTTTGGTAGCACTGAGCAACAATACCAGAATGTCTGGAATGCTCTTCTATACCTCTGAATGCAAGTTGTTGCTTCAGGACTGGTCTGCGTCAACACCTGAACTAAGAATAGGGAGTGAAGTAGTCGAATGAGTCGACAGCTTCATTTATCTTGGAAGTCTTATCAGACCTAATGGGTTGGTGTCTGACGAAATCTCAGCATAGATTCGAAAAGCTCGTTTGGCTTTCTCCAACTTATGTAACCTATGGCGAAGGTGAGATATCCGTCTATCAATAAAAGGACGAGTATACTGAGCGACAGTTCGTTGTGTTTTAATTTACGACAGCGAAACATGGCCTTTAAGAGTAGAAGATACTCGTAAGCTACTAGTATTTGACCACAGATGCCTTAGAAATATTTCTGGCATATGCTGGGATTGTGAATCTTCATCGACTGAGATGGTTGGGTCACGTGTCGCGTATGCCTGAACGCCGATTACCACGACGTTCAATGCTAACCGGTGTTGGGTATGGTTGGAAGAATGTTAGGGGCGGCCAAACCAAAACGTGGCATCAGTGCTTGATGACATTAACTCCTAGTCTGAGCCATGTTGGTAAATGCAGACTACTTGGTTGGGGTCCGCGTAACTATCTTTACCAATGGTTGGAGGCTCTTGGTGACATGGCTCAGAATCGATCACAATGGCGTAGGTGTATACACTCTATCTTCCCTTAAACTAAGAGATTAAAATCACTTCATATCTTTCTTTCTACCAACTAATTCTTTCTTCCTGTACTATATCCTTACAATCTTTCTTTTATATACTACCACCACTGACTTAACCACTCCTATAAATCCGGTGTTCATCTTGCTGTGATAATGCGGTATGGCAACTTGAACCGATGCATATATGTGCCTGGTCCTACGTTGTAGCTAACTAACTGAATAATGATGTTCAATGCATTTTATTCAAGTCGATTTAACCGGTAGTTATACTTAAGTTTTTCATGTGGTTCACAGGCTGTAGTCGTTTTTGACTTAATATGCTCCTATTGGACTAAACGAAAAAGGTTGGGTTTAGTTGCCTTTTTTATAGCAACTGTCCTCATCTGGCTAGAAATTGTTTAAGTTGTGTTTAATCTACAAAATTCTCATTGCATGCTGGCAATAACTTTATTTATTTATTTTAACACATAGATATTGGTACAAGGAGACACCAAATACATATGCGCCACACAATTCTCATTTGATATGTGTGAGGGCTGTGATACTGCCCGGGTGCCCAAACCGAGGCACGTGGTTTTCTTAGGGGACCACACCCGGAGCCTTCGACCTAAAGGTCTGGTCCACAAGTCAGTGGAGCATCGTAAGGAGATGCAGTCCCATGGTAGCTGGTGACCAACGATTGGTTCATACGCCATTTGTTCCTTCAGGATACTGGTGCCCATGTGCACCATTGGTTTGAAATCAGGGTGTGCCAATTCCCCTAGATGGATTCTCCATGTCCACCAATCCGGTTAAAGCGCTGGACATTCGCTTTTCGTCCTCTCAATTTGGTAAACAGCACCCCGCCACGAGAAGGCAATGAGTAGGACTTCCTGGCAGAGGCTATATACGCGTGACTATGTGAGAGCATTGCGAGAGGGAGAGCGGACTCTCTCCACTCTCGGCCGTACCAGGGCATTCGGGGGCAGCAATAACTAGCTGGTGCAATTGTCTTCAGGTTCCATGCTGATCATTTCTAACTAACACCAACGTGAATGACAATTTTTATTTGGGCGATCACAAATAATGTGGGATGATTTATTTGATTAGAAGTTAGTAACATTGTCCACATCATGACCCTTTCTCTCTATGTTTACATTTGTATTGTGTATTTTGCCGAACTCCTAGTTTGCTGAATCAAATTACTAATCATAAGGTTGTGTTTCCGTCTCAATTTCCTCCAGGGAATGTACAAGGGGTGGCTTCTGCAACTTCATGCATTTGAAACCCATTTCCAGAGAACTTTGTCGTAAATTGTACAATCGGAGCAAAAAACGTTATGGGAGAAGACGTCGATCACGTTCTCATTCACCGTCCAAGAGTCGACGTCGCCGTTCAAGATCAGCTGGTCGTGTGTCAAGGCGTTAGGTTTTCTTCCGCGTGACCTGGTGTATAATTTATTTCTGTTTTTTTTGTATATGGTTTCACTTCTGTAAACTGTTACGGTCCACATCAAATGGTAGAATGTCCATTCCAGCTTTATGAGGCGTTTTACGCTGTATTAAATATACATCTGATAACTATGCTTCTGCTGTTTATTTTGCTGTACGTTTATTAGAGTAGCAAGGCGTCTAGTTAACTAACCACTAATTGATTTTCAGTTATTCATGATTGTATTTCTTGCTCGATAAACAGTTGGATAAATATGATGCTTTAGCTCCCATTTATCAACGCTGTATGACGTGGAAGTGACATAAATACGCTTCACATTCATCATATCTGAGTTCATTACAATTGTCAGAAGAAAAAGAAGTTAATATTTTTGATGTGGTCGCAAATAATTATATACAGCGAAAGTCGTGGTACTTTGACAGGAGGACTGTGTATCGGGTTATCCAATTAAGATGCTAAATGAGGGTTTATTTTACACCCAATAAAATGCCTGGATCCACTCATTCTTAGGAGTTATTTACATTGACTAACAATCAGCTCTCTATAGATCGGACTGTGCTGTACTGGACCTTAATTAATAACCTACTATGTGGTCGCATGTTTACAATGTCATGAAATCAACAATTCATAACCAACAGAAATAACTAACTACGTTATGTAACTTTTCTATATTTGGTTACGTGTCACGGGCGATTAAGAAATTTGGCTTTGTATGTCACTCGCACTCCAAATGAGTTACTTCGAAGTAGTTGGTGGTGAACGGTCAACCAGCTATTTTCATCCATGTGTAATTATGAATCATGGTAGTTGCTTAGGTTTTATTCATGGTTGTTGCTTTTGTGATCTTCAGTGAGACCTTTGGTTGACTGTATTTTGTTTGGTTGCCGAGGCAACTGTCATAGTCTGATAACCAGGTCTATGGTCCTCTTGTGGATATGGAGTCCCTAAATACGACTTATTAGGAAGGAAACCGATATTGAGGTGGATCTAAGGTCAATCTTCAGCACATTTCTGTTACATTAATTTCTTACTATGATTATATTTAGTAGAAACCACTGTCCACCTGTCTTAATCATTGATTTATACATAACAGATTAATTCGAAATGTATTTTTAGTTCTAGGGTCATCATTAACAGAGCTTTCATTAGTAAATCGCACTTCTCACTCTAATTAGAGGGCTGAGTTGAAATAGTACCGTCTACTATATTAAATTTGGAGTTGGGAAATGTTACCCCGGTACTTGAACGTATCTGATCTATTGTGAAAGTCAAGAAACTCAACGACATTTGTCTGGTGAGGATTCATATACAATTCTTATCATCCACTGCTTCAATAATGAGGATGGAGCCTTGTTCTGGTCAGTAACTGATAAACGTTAGATAACCATTGAAAACCTGGACAACTTCTTCGTCCTTGTATATGTCTCGTCGACAGTGTTCATCTGTGGATCGAACAAAAGTATTTTTGATCTCTTCCGCTCACACCTAAACTGTCACGTTTCTACGAACACTTATTTGAACTGGGATATTCATACCACATCAAGAGTGTGCACTATGGAATGCTGAAAAAGTGGTTCCTCAAGCAAATGCTCTGGCACTGTTTGACAACAACATTGCCGAGTTTATTTATAATCCTTTTGGAAATACCAAGTTTGACACTTGGTTCCGTTTCTATGACGACCGCTCCAACGCAAACCTAAACCAGCAAGATTCGTGTTTTTGAAATTAACATAAGGGAGATCAAAAAGGCTCCACTGTCATCTTACCACGAAACCCACGCGATAGGGAACTCGCAGAGACGTCCATCTGTCAAATTTTCGGTGACCTTTGTTCTATTTTCAGTACCTATGATCGATAATATGAAACTAGTGATCCGTAATAACAACGGTGCTGATATGGTTACTCGGGTGCATGAGTTCATAAAGATGCAAGCCAGTTCAAATTCCCAGTGTTTGTCTTAAGTCTTTAATCTAGAAAGATCACCGACACCTGCACACTGTTACTGCATCTCCTTGATTAAAACCTAAATTTAAGCAACAAAAATCCTGTCTGTATTGTTATATCCGAGCGAAGATTAAATCACGAGTAACTCCTAAGACATATTAATTGACTAATATTATCTATATATTCTTATGGTGTAACTATTCAATAATTAGATTATGTATATTCATATTCCTCTTATTATAAGCTTTATTTTGACCTATTATTTATTATTGTAAGATTTACTCCTCTTAAGCTATGTTCAGTTTATTAACTGCTGCCTCCCACGTTTACAGTCACTTTTTGGCTTTATTGTGTACAAATCTTATTTCCTATTTTATGGTGCGTTGCGGTCTGTTTGGTTGATATATAAACACAGTATGTCTGAAATAAATGATTCGACTCGCATAGTGAAAGCTGGTACTGGTGTTCTGGACTCAAGTGGACGGGCATAAAGTCACAACATATATACTGATATTGTTATACATGGCATTACAAAAACTATTGGTGTTATACATAGACCTAAAAGGTCAATTTTATCAACAAATAAACTCTGTCAAACTCATTAGATACCAGTAATGAAGAAGTAGGATAATAAGTTTGTCAGAAACGCATCAAATTACCATTTCAGAGCAACGCAAATTTACAATAAACATCAATGACCAGTTTTGCTGTCATCATATCGAAACTGCTTACAACATCAAATATATTGACGGTTAGCACTTAAAAAGTATATTTCTATCATTTCAAAAATCGTTTTCTTTTTTCCCAAAATATGTTACAAAAGTGTGTTGCAACAATATTTTTATAAACAAACCAGATAACTATAAATAATTTTGTTCAATAATACACTTATAAATAGTATATACCTTTAAGCTAAGCTGCTTGATAGCAATGGAAACCGGTTAGAATTTTTGTATCTCATGAAGTACTCTCCATAATGTAGTTAGTTCGGTTTTATCTAATTGATTATTCGTAACCGTTTTGCAGTATTGATCTTTAATTTGGCATTTGAAAACTATGTTTGTTAAACTAGCAGTTACATTTTGTGTAGTAGTATTTGAACCGTCCACAGTTCCACGTTCGATGAGAATGATGCTTAAAAGTAACAAGTAGACGTTATTCCCAGTGAATTTCATTATTTCATACTTAATAACTCAAATCTTATATATATATAGTGGGATTGGCTGTACGTTACCTTGTCAACTGTTTCTAATAGAAACCGGATTGATTAATTTGGATGGTAGGGAACTAAAATTACTGTTATAGTCTTTTTAGCAAGTTCCCTTAATTACAATATGGTAAAATTACTTTAAGCTGTCGAAATCACTCAGTATACATTCACAATTCTATGTGGTTCACGAAACGTACTGTATTTGCTGGCGTATATTTATTAGTTGCGTTCAGTCATTGGACCAGTTAACACGATATAAGTTGTCACCAGTTTATACCATTCAAGAATATATAAACTTGTGAAACTAATGTTTGTTGTAGATTTTGGAATTACAATAGCCATGATCGAATTCCTTACATTACTATTATTATCACTATTTTGTGAAATATAAGGAGATACTACTATCTTCTTTTGAATTATTTACTTTATCTATGAAGTAAAATAACAGAATTGTTACAACACTGTACAATTATGACTTGTTAACGGTGTGTACATTCTTGACATTCCTATATAACGGGGGCGAGGAATGACAGTTCAACATTCAGTTTATCGAAAACGTACTTGGAACGGTCTTTACCTGAATTCCAATAATTTCCGTTCAATCAGTCACAAGAAAGCATTGGTTAAAACTATTTTGTATAGTAGAAAAGGATATATAACACCGACAAACTGAAAGAATTGATAGACGTGGAAAAACTCCCTAAAAACAACTTCCCATAGAAATTTATCGATAAATATAAAAAATCTAAAGAAAATAGGATGGGTGTGGCTGCAGTCAAAAAACCAGCATCTATGAATTTCAACTTTAATTGTGATGACGTCGCAAGCACATTCAGCAGGAGATTTAACACTGCATTAGCCAGAACTTACTGGGCAGCCAAACTATTACTGTGTAAAACAACATGTTCAATAACCCTATCAAAGATCGACAAGTACCTCTTTCATCTTACTGCCAGCTGTTTTTATAAATTTACGTGTGCCTGCTAAAGTAGCTATATTGGCCGGACAGAAAGGAGGTCATGTCTTAGATTTTTCAAACAAGAGAGACAACTGCTTTGAACAGTGCAATTACTAAACACCTCTTGGATACAGAACATTAGGTCGATACTTCATAATCTTTAAAGGTGATAAATTAGAAAGTTGAATATTTTTGAAAGAAAGAAGTTAATGAAAGCTCAGCTGAAAACCGATGACCAAGGAAGTGAGAATGGTTATAAAAACTTCTTTCGGATGTAAATGTTAGGTTTGTGAACATGAATTCCGATAGCTTCAGCAATATGCAGCAGACAAACTCATAAATCATGTGGTAAACTTGATGGGATATTATAGATAATCTTAAGAGCTTTATTCAAGTCAACTTGACGTCCTGTGTCCACCAAGTGAGCGGGAATAGAACTCTTACATATCCTTTCCTCAACCAAGACGAATAGTGCTCTGCTCTGAGATGAAGGACTTGTCGAATTGCATGTCTTACACAACTGGCTCCACAGGAGCAGTTGATTTGTTAAATACACATAGATGTGGCGAATTCTAACCAGTCTGTCTTTATCTATGGTTTTCATTATTGGGCGGTTCATTTTAATATATATTATACTCATAAATTCTATTTAAAATTATTAATATGTTATACTGCAACACTTGACGAATAAGAATCAGCTAGTAAGTGAATAAGTTGCAACATTTAAACTAATCGAAAATGGTTTACAACAAACACGAATACCTAGTTAATTAATTTTATTTGTGAAGCCAACGAACTGTTTTCATCCTTCAGGCATATATATGTCTACAAGGAATCAGTCGCTGACTATGTAAATACCTGTTGACTGAGATAAATGAGGACATTCTATGTTTATTTACAGCCGTCACTTAATCTTAGGGCGTTATATTTTAAGATTATTTCAATAGGAAACTATCACAATGTTTTACGAAAAGAAATAGCTCACCAATACGAACTCTTTAGGTCAGATATTTGAGGTTATCAA